ATTTTTTTTATATATATATATAAGTTACATATATATATATATATATAAGTTACATATATATATATATATATATATATGTAACTTATATAATATAAGAAATCAGTCAAATCTATAATCTATATATATATATAGATTATAGATTTGACTGATTTCTAAGTTTTGTAAAAGAATAAGTGAGTTGTTCATGATGGTTCCCTTTCAATTGAGGAACTTTTCTATTACATTGGAGAGAAACGTGAGTGGATAAAAATAGTCCCCCAGCGGCGGCACAAGGACACTCGTTTCCTCCTCTGAAAGGATGACAGGGCGTAAAAAGTCATCCAGGACTTCAGGCAAAAGTACTTCATCTCCTACTGAGCACCAAAGAGTAGCCCTCTGCAGGGATTGTAAACAAACACAACAAACACAGACGCAGTAAACAAACGGCGCTTACCTCCTCATCCTCCTCCTCACCCACAACTCAACCGGTCCAAATCACAGCGAGTCTATTCCTCCGGCGCACTTTAGACACTCCCATCACAGCTCTGTTGTTAGCCGCAGTAGCCTGTTAGCTTTAGGTTGCCACTGTGTGTGTGTGTGTGTGTGTGTGTGTGTGTGTGTGTGTGAGTGTGAGTGTGCGCTTCGCATGCAACTACACCACACTTGAGAGTGGAGGGAGGAGGAGGAGGAGGAGAGAGCGATGACGTCACGACCACCGGAGCACTCCGCCCGCTGCAAAAAGTGGATCACCGTGTGTGTGTGTGTGTGTGTGTGTGTGTGTGTCAGCATCACATGTCTACTGCGTTAAGAGGAGAGCGCGCACACACACACACACACACACACACGCGCGCACGCACGCACGCACGCACGCACACACAAGGACAAATGCCAGTGTCATGCTATACCTCCCCCCTCTCTGCAGCCCCCTCCACGTCCATGCTGCAGTCTTTTAACTATAAAATGGAGCCTCTTTGAAACCAGACAAGAGAAAAACAGCCTGAGTTCATTTTTCTTTCTGTGGAAATTCTTCATGTGAACATCGAAACAGAGGAATTGTTTTGGTGTTTTTTGTGCCTTAAATATTCATCCGAGCTGCATAATAAAAAACCTAAAAAATGTATTAAATATTAAATCTGCACAAAGCACCATGAACTTCAGTCCGGGGAGATTTCAGGTGATTCCTTTGAATTGTTCCTTCATAAGAATAAGTAATAAAAATCATGTTTCTGGTTACACGAGCATCTTCACCCCCCCTGCTGTACATAAAGACCTCAGAAAGCTTCTCTTGCCAGGACCACTATATCCCATCATGCATTGCACTGATACAAAACGGCAGATGGAGAAGAGAGAAGGAGAGAGTGATGGAGACAAACCTGTGAGCTGTGGGGCAAAAATAATAAACTGAATATGAGCAGGGCATTTATTCACCAAATACACTTACTGCCCCCACATGCGCACACACACACACACACACACACACACACACACACACACACACACACACACACACACACACACACACACACACACACACACACACACACACACACACGACGGTGCAGAGCTGCCTTCCACGTTGCACGTTTCAATTGTTGCAGCAACGGCTAAGAGACAATCCAGAGGTAGAACTTCCGGGATCGTGAGTACGGAGGCAGGAACGAGTGAAGTTGCAAACATTTTATACGTCCAAAAAACAACGTGACGGATCTTTGATTTGAAACATAACTCAAAAATCTAACCGGCAAAAAATGTTTGATAACAATTTCTACCAGATCTTCCACTTCACAACTTTGCACACTCTCTCAAAATCACTTCTGTCTATTTTCAGTACAACTGGTGTATTTTGCACTCCCAGATGGTTATGTTATATTTATTTATAATAACTCCTCGCGGATCAGGTGACTAGAATCGTCTGTTGACTCAGCAAAACGTCTAAAAACACCTTCGATCTTTGCACACGTTCCCTTAAGACAGAGACGGGGACACAGAGAGAGGACGTGCTGTCTCCTTACCCCGGTGGATGGTGTCGAAGCAGACGACGCACACGCGGGCCTCTTTCTCCAGGTACTTCAGCTTGCACTTCCTGTTGCAGCACACAGCACAGTAGACCTGCGACGGGGAGACAAGCAACACGATTCACTGTGCGTGTGTGTGTGTGTGTGTGTGTGTGTGTGCACCGAGTGCCTTAAGTAGCTAACAGTCCTCTCTAATGCTGATTTAATCGCTGGCCCTGAGTGGACTTAGCTGTCCTTCTTTGGGACACACGACTCAGTAAAGATCTGTAGGGTCGCTAAAAGAAGAAAACGCTGACTCATACTTTTATTTATTTTTTCCCTCTTTTATCTTCTCATTTTTTCCCCATATTTTGACTTTCATTTGAAAACATTTTATTTTTACATATTTTGTGACTTTATTTTCCATATTTTTAGATATAACGTATTTTGACTTTTCTTTTTAAAATATTATAATAATAATATAATAATACATTCAATTTAATATTTTTTTCTCCACCCAACTTATTTTTGACTTCTTTTCAAAACACTTTTCAACCTAATATTTCTTTAACTTGTTTCCCAATATATTTTTTCAAACATAGTTTGACTTTTGTTTCCAAAACACGTTTCGTTGTGTTGTAAATACAGCCGGTTTCCACACACACAACACGACACACGGGTTCACCGGAGAGTCCGTACCTTCCCGCAGGCCCGGCAGTGGTGCCGCCTCTTGGTGAAGGTGAACTTCTGGTTGCAGTTCATGCAGTTGGGAGCTTCGGCGTCGGGCATCCAGGCCGGCTGCCTGGTCCCCAGGTCCTCCGCCCCCTCCGTCTTCCAGGCCGCTGTCCCGTCGGTGGGCGAGTCCCCGGGGTACGGCGGCGGCTCCGAGAGCTCGTCGCCCCCGACGCTGTAGTCCCGTGGCTCCTGAGAGGCGCACATGGGGCTCAGGTCCCTTATGTTGGGATGTTCCTCCGTGAGACTGCAGGGCGAGCCGTCCTCCCCGTCCTCCTCGCCGAGCGTCTGAGCCGGCTCCTCCCCTCCCTCCTCTCCTGCCGGTGGAGATCTGGCGGTTTGGCAGAGGAGCTGTTTGGGTCTCGCACCGCCGTAGGCGGGCGGCTCATCGGGGCTGCCGTGCTGGAAGGAGTTGCTGGTCGGTGGGAGTTCTGGCTCCTCGTCGCAAGGAGGTGTGTAAGGGTCCTGCGATGGAGCGCCGTGGTTTAAGCCTCCCGCCGCAGACATCGTTCTATCGCTCTCTGGAGACGCCAGGTCCTCCACTCCTTCTCTACCGCAGGTCCTGAGCTCCTCGCCCCCGAGCCGGCCTTCCAGACCTCCACCGCCTCTCTGCTCCGCTTCCGCGTGCGCCTGCAGGAACGCCTCCAGCTCCTCGTCCGTGACCAGCAGCTCGGCCTGCTCGCTCTCGGGGAGGTACTCAAAGCCGAACTCGGGCGCATCAACCGGGCTGGGTTCTGAGCGGGCGCGGGAGGCGAGGTCCACGGGGGGCGCGGGGGCCGAGGCAGCAGCAGGTTGGAGAGCGAGACGCCCCTCCGGCGACGCCCTTCGGTCCGAGACCTCCACGGGATCCTCCAAACGGGACCTGGCGCCCGGGGGCGGCGTGGAGGCGGTGCTCTCGGGGGCGCGGCCCGCTGCCTCGTCCTCCGCGGTCGTCACCTTCAGCAGAGCTCCACACATGGACACGGCGATGGGCAGGCACGACAAGCCCCCCGGCGCGCTGTCCGGGTTCGACCCAACAGAGGCCTGCGCCTCGCCTTCGTCAGAGGATCCTTGAGACTCCGCCTTCGCCGGGGTCGCTGCTTCCGTAACGCCGCCGTCGTGCAGACGGGCCTCCGGCTGGCAGCGGCCTAAAGCGCGACCGACCACTTGGTTTGTGCAGGCCGCCTCCTCGCGGCTCCTCTCCTCGTTCCCGGCGGACTCTGCGCTCCTCGGTGACGGCGAGGCCTCAGCGGAGTCGCCGCTCCTCTCTGCCACGGCGGGAAGAATGACGTCCAGCAGACTGAGCGAGGCGGAGAAGCCGCCTGCCCGCTCTCCGGCGACCGAACCGAGCAGCCCGCCGTCTCCGAAGACGCCACTCCCCTCCTCTCCGGTGACCACGGGGCTCTCAAAGTCCACGAGCAGCGCATGCTGCTCCTCCTCCGCCTCCTCCTCCGCCTCCTCCATTTGCTTCTCCGCCATGTCCAGCTCGCTGAAAGCTCCGTGGCTGTCGGGCCGGACCAGGACGGCCGAGCTGGTGTCGTTCACCAGGTCACACACCGGCTTCAGGGCCCGGTCGGGGCAGGGAGGGGCGGAGCTCTGAGCCGGCCGGCGATCCACGGAGGAGAGGAGGTCCACCGCTGTGAGAGGCTGAACTTTGACCTCTTGGTCGTCGGCAGCGCTGCAGTTCTGAGTGGGGAAGCGGTGGGCAGAACCATAATGGAGAGCGTTAAGGTCGGGGAGGGTCGGCGGGACCTTGGAGGCCTCGGAGGTCAAACACTGGGAGCCCAGAGAGGAGAACGGGTACACGGACGGCTTCAGGAAAACAGATTTGCATTCGTGTTCCTCTGAAATAATGAAAAGAACAAAACATGTTAAACTCAGATTAACAGAAGAAAAAAACTTGATTACTGTTGTTTAGTACAATTACAAAGTAAAATGATTGATATCCAATTGCATGGACTGCAGCTGTTAGGCGACTAATTGGGAACTATTTTGGTGATTGATCCAAAGAGCAGAAAATATTGTTGTCTGCAACAGATGCCGTCTGCAAGTTGGTATCCTGCTTTTCTGTATTTTAAAATATAATAATTATAATCAATAAATGAATCATTACTTGCAGACGCTTTTTGGACTCTTACCAGTATTGAGCTCAAAGTCATCCAGCAGTTTGTCCAGATCACAAACAGCAGCCTTGAAGAAGCTGTCCATGCTGGACGAAAGCGTCGGGCCGTCGACACCCTCGAACCCCTGCAACTCCTGGAAAAACATTACGAGAACCATGTGATCTCAGTCAAGGATCTGCACCAGTTGTCACATTAACACACCGGGACAAAGCAACAGCTGTGACACAAAGTCAAACATGATGGATCAATAATCATGTCATGTGATAAATATCACAAACACCCGTCTTCCTTCGAGCGGCCGGCTCGTGAACCAGAAGTCTCATTTGTAATTCTAAACTCGTCGCGTGGGTGAAAAGATGACAAATTACTGAGTACACAAATAACACCTCAAGGACGAATCATTCGTACGACCTGGTTCCACCATTATGATCACATTCTGATCCCAGACCAGTTACACAGCGTCATGTGATCAGCAGACATGTGAGTAGCTAAAGGAGTGACTTCGGCTACAACAAAGCGGTTATACTTTAATCATTGACACATTTTACTTTTTAAACGTGTTCATTTAATTCTGTATAATCTACAAACGTTTTTTATTGATTCATGATTACAATGTTGAGGGCGACGCCGTGACTTTTCCTCCCCGTGTTCAACAGGAGTCACGAGGTTCGGCTTTAAAACGCCACCGAGATTCAACTTCTGCCCGAGTGGAATATTAATAACCGTTTTCTCTCCTCTCAAAGGATTTCTGTGCAGCAACACAAGGAACATCAACCAGCAGGAGCATTACTAAAGAAACTAGAATTATAATCTGCTCTTTAGGGTCACAGCACACAACACACAGAGCTAACGCAACAACAACAACACAAGTGACACTTCAAGTCTCTGTAAAAATACTCTCACAAAGTTGAGCTCGATTCAGACAATAACACACGTCCCAGATCGAAAGGGAAGAGCCACATCGTCACGTTCCTCTCCAGGAATAACAAAAAGAAAACATGCATTACATAGAGAACATTTGGTAGTTTACTTTTAGATGATGCTGCTGCTGCTGCTGATCAAGTCAGAAATCAAGTCAGAAAATTGTTGGTGTTTCGATCAGATGGTCCTGCAAACTATTTTAATCAAAAGAAGTAATTGTTAAGAGTTTCCACAGTAACCAGCTGATCTAAACTACAGCCATGTTAATAAAGAGGCCACACAAACAACACTACAGAGCTCGGAATGTGTAGAGACGCTTCCTTGTTCCGGCGGTTGTGTTAGTGAAGGGAAGGATGAAGCCAGCCTCATTAAACACACATCTTGGGGTTAATCATCACAGTAAAACTATGCACTTCCAGAAATGTGGCCAAACCCGTTCTGGTCAGTTAAATAAATGATTCCAAGACATCTTATCCAAGACTTATCAAACTATCAGGTAGTTAAATGTACACTTCTATTACAGGCGACGGGGACTTTCATGGGAGAAGTTGCTGCATTATGGGAAGTAGAAGCAGTTCTCTTAGTGTTTACTCGTGTAAAGGCGGCAGCACAAAGTGAAACAACTTTATGGTTCAGGTCAAATGACAGAACTACAGTACACGCGACCTCTCGTTGCATCTACTGATGAGTTACAGCACAAAATGCCAGATGAGGCAACACAATCAGCTGGGTAACACGTATCGTTGTAACACCGGTGTCAGGCTCAATGTTACCAATGCAATTAAACAATTCCTCTGTTGTTTAACGTCAAAGAGCGTCTGGCGTTAATTCCACAGCTTCATAACAACCCAGATCGCCTCCCTCATAAAATAAAGTCACCAACACAATTTTTAAACGCCAACACGAGGGAGGATGGTTGTCATCTCTGTGTCGTTTTAAATACTTTTAGCTACCACATTAGCAAACAGGCTAACGAACACAAATAGCACAACAGTGAGCTAACAGCTGAAGTTAGCAAGTTGCGTTAGCAACTGTAACACCTCACCACAACGAACACTTAGCTTGATCGTTGATCACATGATGATAGCTAACACTAACAGTTTACAAACTAGCAATAAAAACAGCCTGTTGTCAGCGGGATTGAAGCAGGTGTACCTTCAGTTCGAATGCCAACGTTAGTTCGGTTGTTATTGAACGCGTTAGCAAGCTAATTTAGCTAACGTTAGCTTACTGTGGGTTTAACCTGTTCTTTTTTGTTTTTGTTTCTGACGTTCCTCACCAGCACTGGTTCTATTCCATAACTTCTACGTCGTCCCCGGTGTACTGTCCTCACATTCCGGTTGAAAATGGGAACATATGCCCCCCGAGTCGTCGTCTCATTCTCCGGCAAACCGGGTAGTTAAAGTTGTGTGTGGGGGACGCTAACCAGCTAGCTAGCTAGCTGTTGGATTAGTTTTTTATTGGAGATGTGTGAATTCTCCACTCAAGCGGCCATCTTGGAACGGACTGTCACGTGGGCACAGGATCCGCTCGAAGTTAATTTATTTATTTTATTTATTTTACTTATTTATTTATTTATTTTTTTAGGGGTTATTGATAGTGTTAACGGTGACTTCGTTATTAATTAAATTTAAGTTATTTATTGTAAATATACATCAACTGGAGCTCCTGTAGTTGTTGTGAAATACTCACAAACACCCCTTTTTAAAGATGCTTTTAACTTCTGATACTCGTTATGTAATGCTTGTTTTTTTAAATTATTATTATGAATACATTACACATTATTCTTATATTTATATATTCATTTTTTCAAACTCAATCACGTTTTACACTTTGTACACAGAAGAGTGTTTTGTTTGAGATGCATTTATTCAAGAGTGTCTTATAAAGGAATCAATATTTGTCCATCATAATAATCACACAGTTTTAATAAAAATACTTCGAAATCTGTTTGAGACTAATGGTTACTGCCCTATGTTGTAGTGGTTTACTACCACTAGGGGGCAACTGTGTCCTCTCAACTACACTGTATGAAGGGTATCTGTTTTATACAGGTATATCTCTGTACCGTCCATGGTTGTATTCTACCAATCATGTTATATGTTTGCATTATAGAACAGCTAGTCCAAATGAACGGATGTAGTCCAGATGACTTACTGTAACATAACATCATATTTTTTTAACCAATGACATTTAGTTTTTCTTGTATGTATAGTGTAATAATATACACAAAACACTTGTGTGTACAGGCTTGGTGTCTTTCTATCCGAAATCAGACACCATTATCATCATTATCATTACAGTATCATTACAATTATCTATATTTTTATTATAAATATTACCATAATTGTTACTATCATTACTATTATCATCGTGATTTGTTTATAATGGTTTCACTATTGTTATATTATTATTATTGTATTATTATCATGTCATCATACTATTATTATTACCATTGTGTTTTATTGTTATGTCACTAATATAACATATTTTTTGGTTGTTGGGATTTTACAGATTTTATTATTATCACAGATATGTATAACATGCTCTTCCTCTCCGGGCCAGCTGGTGGCGCTGTGACGTCATGACGTCGTCTTTCGAGCCACTTAAAACCAGAATCGAAGTCGAGCAGGAACGCAGGGAAACAGGAAGAAGCAGAAGCAGAAGAAGAAAACATCGGCACCACAATGAACAAGAGACTAGTCAAGGTAAAAAAAAAAATACACGAATCATCCTAATATGCGCCGCTTCGCGACATAATCACGTCGACGCGTTTCGGCCGCGCGGCGTGTTTCCGCGGCCCCTCCACCGGGGGGGGGGGAGCCGTTAACGCGACGGGTTAGCGGTCATCCGACCGACCGAGTGAAAGCATAACGGGCGCCGGGGAGCGGAGGAGTTACTTAGTTCACGGAGCCCGGGGACGTGACTCAACAGCCACCGGGAGCACGTGTCACACGCAGCCGACGAGGCCAATAACGTGTTTTTTGGGGGGGGTTTTGGGTTTCTAACACGTGTGGTTTCCACGTTGGGGGCCGGGGGCCGCGACGGGGAGACGCGCGGCCGCTTGTTTTACGCGCTGTCACCGTCTGAAAAGCTGTGGAGAGAAAACATGGAGACTTTGGGGCTGGGACGTGACGTCACACCTCCACCCGGCCGACAATGTCGTTTCGCAGAATTGTGATAGAAAATAAAAATAACCGTGACGTGAGATCGCAGAGGGTCTGTGATGTGGGGGAAATGTTAAAACAGTAGCGTGGTAACTACGTACTTTCATCCCAGTGGTGGCGTCACAAATCCGAGGGAACACGTAACTTTTACTTTCTATTTCTTTAGTTTTTACATTGTATCTTTGGTTGTAGTACTTTCACTGTGGGGTACTACGTTCTCTTTTACTAGTCCCTACAGTATCTGACACTTTCGGTTTGTCTAATAAAACCTTTATGATGTAGTTTTTAAGATTCGGGTACAGACAGTGAAGTATCTGCTGACGGGAAGTAGAAGTCCGATTCACTGCCTGCTTCTTCTTTTTTTTTTTATTTCTATGTAGTTTTTTATATATGTATAAAGTAGTGTTCAGATGATCATTTACTAAAGTAAAAATACTACTATACTGGGGAAACACTGGTACCAAAAGTGAAAGTACTATTAATGCTCCATTGCCCCATCCAGAATAATAATTATATTATTATTATTATTATTGTTGGAATGCATTAAGCATTCCAAGTGTTGTTATTTGAATCTTTATTGTTTTTCAGCAGATCTATTGAAATTCATTTCAGCTTCTCCCATTTCTGTATTTTCAGCAAATGTATTCAAATTCCTTTCAACTTTCTGTATTTTGAGCTATTTAAAAAAAATTCATTTCAGCTTTTTGCATTCCAACGCATTTTCAGCAGGAAATGCATTTTCTAGTTGTTATTATTATTATTATTATTATTATTATTGTTATTATTATTATTATTATTATTAATTCATTCGCCCTCAGTCATTTAGCTGACGCTTTTATCCAAAGCGACTTACGTTACATTTTTAACTCATGGCTTTTACATCTTTGCCCGGGGAGCAATGAGGGGTTAGGTGTCTTGCTCGGGGACACTTCGGGGGGCTCGAACCACCAACCTTGCGGTTCCCAGTGCGTCTCTACCCCTGGACGTGGATGAGCAGTCGTTCTTGATCCTACAGGTGTAACTAGTGGCTGCTTTTTAAATGGCTTGTTTTGTTTCAGGAGCTCGAGGAAATCCGCAACCATGAGGACAAGTTTTTCCGCAGCATTCAAGTGGACGAGTCGAATGTCTTGAACTGGCAAGGCCTCCTTGTTCCTGTGAGTACTGACCCGGTGCGATCACAGAAGAACCTCGTCCAGTCGATCAATTCTCTTACAAGCTCTGTTCTCTCCAAAGAATTGTCCTCCCTACGACAAAGGGGCGTTTCGGATCGAGCTCATCTTCCCCGCCGAGTACCCCTTCAAGCCGCCCAAGATCACCTTCAAGACGAAAATCTACCACCCCAACATCGACGAGAAGGGCCAGGTGTGCCTGCCCATCGTCAGCGTGGAGAACTGGAAGCCGGCCACCAAGGCGGAGAATGGTGAGGCTCGCCGTGCGAATGACTCCCTTTGGAGGGCCGGCTCGTGCGGTCTAGCGGCCTCTGGTGAACGAGGTCGCGGTGGTGTCTTAAGAACAAGCGAGGATAAAACCGTAAACTTAAGACGCTGCGCCGATGTTGTAGTTCCGCTCTCGTCAAACGGATTGGCGTTTTAGCCTTCCACAACGTAACCTTTGTAGCTGCCGCCATCGCAGAGTGTCCTTTACTTCCAGTCCGTTGGTTCTAATGTTCATGCTCCTCTCCCCCCCCCTCCTGCAGTAATCACCAATCTCCTTGCCCTGGTGAACAGCCCTGAACCGGACCACCCGCTGCGCGCCGACCTGGCGGAGGAGTACAGTAAAGACCGAGCGAAATTCATGAAGAATGCCGAGGAGTTTACAAAGAAACACAGTGAAAAGCGGCCCACCGACTGACGGCACGACACCGACGCTCAACTGCCGCTTGTCACCCCCCCCCCCCTCTTCTGTTTCCTCGACTACACAGCGACGCCCTGTTCTAGCATACCTGCTTGTTTTTTAGCACTCTTCAACCACTCCTTCTGAGAGGCTTGTGTTTCTGTTTGACTAAAAAGAAAAAAGCAGGACTTTTGTTGGTGAATAGGCAGGCTCTGGCCTTTAGGTGTCACCTTTGGGTTGTTTTTTTTTTTTTTTTCTTTCTACTGATTTCTTTTTCGTAAAAAAAGTAAAGAAAAGAAGAAGAAATTTGTCAGAGGTGGCATCCTAGGAAGTAAACTAGTTCTACTTACCTGTTTTTCTTCTCACTTCAATCAATAGCTTATATCAGACTTTCTTAACAAAAAACCCCACAGCTGATCTAAAGCTGACCCCCGACCCCCCTTTAAGATATTCTGTGAAATCACCTGTTGCGGAACATGAAAATTAAAGTTTGTCACTGATGCAGAATTCAACATGTAAACTCAGTGATTTGTGAAAAATGCAACAACGATTCATTGTTTATGTATTTCTGCTGTTTTTTGGAGGGTGGGGGGGTCTTCACAGGAAAGTGCACTGTGTCGGCAAGCTTTTTGTTCGTTAATTTGCAGACTAGTGGATGTCAGACCTAGTTCACCCATCTATTTCTTCTCCGTTGCGTCACTGTTTGGTTAAGTACGAGACGTACGAAGCACTGATTGGTTCTACTATGTTGCCGCAGTCAAACGGCTCTACTTGTTTTCTGTTTTCCATGAATAAACCCGATGTAACCTGAAGAAGCTCTACGCCTTCACACATACGAAGGCACTACATCCAGCTGCAGGTGGAGGACAGAAGGTCGTTACTGAATAAAGATTTGTGATGGATGCTTAAACCAAACCGTATTGTTGTGATTTTTAGCCTCAGATTTACGTGTAATATCCATGATAAAATGTTTAAAGTGACCTTTTTTTAAAACAATGTTCTCAATGTCCAATAAAGACACAACAGCCTAGTTTAAAATCTGACGCAATGCATTATGGGATGTTAACTGCATTTCACTGAGGTCTTGGAGGCCTCACATACTGGTGAACACTCGACATACACTTCATGTCATACTTTGTATGATAGTGTACCATGTTTTTTAGAACTTCTGTTCCCATAATGCTTTGGGGGATGTAAACAAAGTAACGGTCGGTTGGTTAGCTGTATGCCAGCAACAAAGTACCATCACTAAAGTATAATTTAGATAGCGGCTAGTCGGCCGCTAAATGAGTAAATCTAACGTTAGCTTGCCAATTCCACAATGCTAAAAAGCTACAGCTTCAAAACATAACACACATGAACTGCTTGGTTTGAGCAACATTTCTTTAATATTTACTCGCTGTAGATAATAGCTAACATCTCTAATCGCTAGCATGTGAATACGGCTGTAATTACGGTTAGCTAAGAGCAGTAACTGGTTTGATCGTTAGCACTGATGCTAATTGTTAATGCCAAAAGCTAGCATGTGAATGTTGCTGTGATATGGTTAGAAAAGAGCCAGTAAAGTTCACATGTAATTGCGGGTTACGTTCATTAACGCTAGCTACGTCTATGCTAACCATTAGCGTGAGCGTTTCACAAGGAAAACAGTTCAAGTGTTTTAATGCGGTTGGCTTTATTGAAGTCAGGGTTACATTGAGGACCTTTAACTTGAGGTAGAATTCCCTCCCTAACTGTAGTTCATGTCTAAGATTAAGTCTCCCTAAAGATGTGCGGTTTGCAGGTTCTGGGACGCTGAGGTTTTCATCCCCGATGCCACGATGGATCCAGCTTTCACTTCCTGAACTGAGCGACGGGAGCTGGGACTTTAATGTCCTGCCCCCTCTCCAGCTTCTTCTCACAGTCAATCAGGTGGTTGACCCCATCGACCAACATCTGGACCAGCTCCACCTGAAGAAACGCACACCCCCAAGGTCATTCCTGGCACTTTGCAATGAACGAGAGTCAGAACAAAATCGACCCTCACCTCGGATTTGCCCAGACGGTCGTTGTTGGAAATGTCAAAGGTGTCTCCGGTGGCCGCCGTGTCCACTCCACCCGTGCCTCTCTTCTGCAGCCGCAGGTGGTCGAGGATTTTGGAGAAACGTGGGTCCTGCAGATGGATTTTTATCAGTCATAATTTATCTCACCTACAGCAAAATGCCTCTCAAAGACCCAAACCCAACAGTGTAGACCTCCCTTCCAATACTCTCTGCTTTAAACCCCTCTCTCTCTCTATATATATATATATAAATAAAGCTCCAGAACAGCCATTACATGGTACCAAATATATAATATAAAAATATTGTGATAGTCGTGTGTTACCTTGCTGAGTTTCGGCAGGCGCACGTGCACCCCGGCCCTGAGGCCGGTGCCCAGGTTGGAGGGACACGTGAGGATGTAGCCCAGGCGCTCGTTCCACATGAACTCCCAGCCTCTCTCCTGGATCAGGTGCTCCACCTGCGGGGACGTCACACGAAGGGTCGCCCAGTCACGTGATAATGAAACAGTTTAATGTTCTTTGACGAGCAAAACTAAAACATTAATAAAACAAACTGAAGAATACGTTGTCGTAGGGAGACGGATTTGAAGACGCCTCAACCTAAAATATCTACTATAATTATGAGGCCTTATAATAATTAACGATACACATATAATACATCGAGAAAATGTATGGAAAAAATAAATACATATTGTTGATAAATTCTATTTTTGATATTATTTAAGCAATAAGGTACGAGAGGCTGTACATTATCGCTCAATAATGTACCGCAGTGACTCACTCTCAACCAATAAGAACGCTGGATTTCATCTACCCGTATTATAAAATAAAATATATTTATGAATATATAAAAAATGATGAGTAAAATATAATGATATATAATTTATTGTACGTTTAAAGTAAATGATAAATGTTTAAAAGGAAAATATCATTTTATTTACATCTATGACCGTATAAGAAAATATATAAATCGCCGTAAATTTACATTAAAAAAAGTAAATGAAAAGACCTGCATTTTGTCTTTCCACTAATCAAAATCTTCGCATAGAACAACTTTTAACTTAAATATAGATATCTCTCAAACACGGTAGAAGAACTAGCACACACTCCCCTCCGTACCTGCTTTAGTCCGCTGCAGAACCTCTCAAACACTCTCTTCATGTTGCCTCCCTTCTCCATGGAGATGACCCTCGTGTGGTCCTCCTCGTTCACCCAGATCAGGAAGGTCTTGTCATTGTTGTGCCTGAGGAGAACCAACGGAAGAGCTCTTCAACGCCGGAGATGACTCATGGAAAGGAGCCGAAATAACTGCATGTTTGTATTTAGCTTGACAGGATGTAGAAATATATATTCAGTGGTGGAGTACTTATTGATGGTCCCTGTAGTCTACATTCATCAATACATCATAGTCTGAGATGTAGTAGTAAAAAGTACAACATGTACCTCTGAGATGTAGAAGCGTGAAAGAATTGAGCTGCATAGAATGCAAGTAAAGTATCTTGAATGCGTTCCAAAATACAACGGGTTCCCTCCCACCACTGAACACACGGCGTGCACTGAACCAGCAGGAGGTCTAAACGTCACAGCACACGTGCAGCACACGTGCAGCAGAGGAACCCTACCAGATGCCTCTGGCGTCGGGCCAGTCTCTGGCCATAAAGGCACATGTCAACAACGGAGAGACGGGCTTGTCAAACAGGAAGTGGTCCTAAAGGTGGGAGGGGCCACGGTGACACAGACACAGGTAGAAAACAGAGGACGTTAAGACGGGTGAGGTCTTCTACTTGGTGGATGAACTCCTATGTATTCCTGCTGTGCAGGGGGGAGGACAGGAGGGAGGGTGGAGGAGGACAGAAGGGAGGACTCGTAGGAGGAGAAAGGCTTCGGCCCAGATGCGTTAGGCTGCGTCTCCCCCATCAGGGCGTTGTTGGGGGGGGGATCTTTTCTTACCAGATCCCCCGGGAGTCGGGCCAGTCTCGGGCCATGAAGGCCGAGGTGAGCAACGGGGAGACGGGCTTGTCGAACAGGAAGTGATCCTTGTGCGCCGCGCGGCGTGAAATAATCACAACGGGAGGGTCAAATAAAAGAGAAACTCCGAGCCGAAGGAGGAATTAATTAGATAATCATGTTTGGTGTTTTTCATATTTTCTAAATTTAACTTAAAGCAGTCAATGAGTCTCCTCCTCTAATCACATTATATTGCATCATAAAAAGATAAAAATGCTTCACAACTATGGAAATTGTAACACGCTACAGTCCTTCCAAGAATATCATGTCAATGAGTGACCAGAAATTATTAAGCATTATGAAAAATGACCTTATAAAATTATTTATGTTATGGTCATTGTTATAAAAGAGGGAGCTAGAGCCCCGCCCTAAAAGAATCCCCTGTCAATCAGCCTGTAGCCCCACCCCCTAAAGCATCTCCTGCTTTATGGTCTGTTTGACTCCTTGAATGTCCATAATTTACTAAATGAACATCATGCTGTATTGAAGAAGACTGGAGACTGAGACCATAAACCATAAACTCATGTTTACAATGTTAACTGAGGGAATAAATCAAGAGAGAAGTAATTTTCTCATAGACGTCTATGGGAGCAGAGGAGTCGCCCCCTGCTGGTCACTACACAGAATGCAGCTACAACACATGAAGCTAGATCTCCTGTTACAGCGCCGCCAACTGGCAGATTGCGGTCCTATTAGTTGAGCAGCATTGGAACAGATTTTTGATGTACCCATCACTGGAAATCACTGCAGTTGAAGCCCTAAAATCCTCCCGAAAAGCAGCTCCATCACGTAACATGTGGGGACGGAACTTTAAAACATTCAGACTAGTTCCTCTGATTCCTCCATCTGACTTCAGAGCAAAGAGGAAATCATCTCACGTCAATGAGCTGCTGCTGCTCCTTGTCCGTCATGTCTCCCAGGCTGTAGTAGCGTCCGGCCAGGTCTCCCTTCAGGCCGGCCAGGGCCGTCACCACCACGCGCTCCACCTCGCGGCGCTCCGCCCGCGAGCAGGCCGGGGGGAGGCTCAGCCCGCGGATGCTGCGGCCGGTCCGGACGCGGGACGACAAGACGTATTTCTCGTCGAACATGGCGTTGGTGATCTGGAGGAAGAGGGGATGCCGTTTAATGTGCGAGGAGGTGGAGGCGGGCGGGGGAGTCGTGTTTGGTCGGGTGATGTTGTGGTGTAAACACCTTGGAGGCGTCCAGGTCGGTGGGGTGTCTCATGGTTCGGGGGTCGTAGCCGTTGTGCCGGTCTTTGATAATTGGGTCCAAGAGTTCAGCAAAGACCTGCAATAGAGGGCAAAGGTTTGGGGAGTTTAAAAAGCTAATTAATAATAATAACTCAAGTGCTTGGACAGACAAAGAAAACCAATAAAAACAACGTAAAGCTTAAAATGAAAAATAAATGGAAATAGAAATATAAAAAAAAATCATTAAAAAATTGAACTAAATTAATTAAATTAAACTATCAAATTATACAATAAAAGTAGTGTTTCTTTTTCATACACAGACACAAACGGCAACCTTTGACCTCACTCACCTCGTAGCTCTCCTCATCTCCAGCCACACAGCCCACCGTCTTGATGAACGGGTGTCCGGGGTTGTCCACTCCGGTTTGGATGCTCTGGTCCAGGGTCCAGTTGTTGGGGGTCACCCTGTCCCTCAGTTTGGCATAAATGGCCGGAGTCAGAGCCGTCGCCATGCAGTTGTTGTGTTTCCTCAGGTCGGGGAAGTCGGAGCTGCAGGAGAGGATGAAGAGGAAAGAGTTGAAGATTAAGAGCCTAACATTAACATCTAATTTGAGTGTTTGACGGGTTTTATCCAATTCTCTGGGTTAAACGTGTTTCATATTTATTTACATGCACAAATATGTCTCAATGCAAATTAAATAAAGTTATTTGAATTGCCCCATGGTTAAATAAATGTTCCCTCTCTTTGCTCCGTTTTTGGTCTCCACCACCACAAACAGGGCACATATCAGTCTCTGTAGCTGCTACATGCTCGACTCTGTCCACCAGCTGGTTTGTAGCTGAGTGGGTTATAATTCTTTATGGTAAAAACAAAGCTTCTCTTCCTAAAGGTCATTTGATCCGTTGTTTTTGTAGACATACTGAAGCTTGAGGTCTGACGGACGTCTTCAGCTGCTCCTTTCAAGTATTTCAGTTTTCTCAAATAGTGCAAAATGACCACGTGTCCTTACAGTAACATATTCATATTTGGGACACATGGTGATTGCATTAGAAGCCCCATGCAGTAGAGGGTCGGGATGGGGGGGGGGGGGGCAGTGAGTCAAGGTAACCCAGATGGAACCTGAGAGCTTCTTCAGGACGCTGCCAGTGTTCCTGCCGTGACCTCGTGTGCTCTTCACACTCTCAGATGTTCACTACGCCGCGGAAATACCAGCGGCATGAGCTAAATATACTTGTGTACTACGGTAAGATGACCTACACTTAAGTCTGAATGCGAGTTTACCTGCAAGACTGAGATAAGGTCTGCTAGCAGTTAGCATCAGCACTATCCACGTGTGCGATAGCGGTTAGGATTAGCAGCAGCTATGCTAGTGATTAGCAAGAGATATTCACAGGCTTTTTCCAAAGGAGTAACTACAGCACTCGTCTCCCCGACTCACTCGAGTGGTTAACTTCCATTGCGGCCTCTCGGTTGCTTCGGTTACGGGAACATAAAGGCGATGAGTCATCGCAGGTGATGTGGAGCCGAGGCGGATAATTACAACTCGGATCACAGATCCCACTTTTCAGCACTGTGGTTCTTCTCATCCCGGAATTACTGTGTTATTCATTGTTGTATACGTAGTTTATATATAGCTTACATGTTTTGTTTATTTATTTTTATTTTTATTTTTTACTTTATCAGCAGCAACATTAAAGTGAAAAAGGATCCCGGCTGATAACCATCATTGATCCGGCTCACCTGGGCGGATAGAGCTTCGTTCTCCCCTCAGCGGCCAGCGAGCCGCTCTCGCCCAGCAGGAAGCCGGTTGCCATGGTTCCCGCGCCCAGGCTGGCCAATAGGACGGCCGCGTTGCGTCCGGAGATCAAGCGCGTGAAGGAGCTCGCCATCTTTTCGGTACCTCGGTAGCAAGATAAGCTGCAGGTAACAATAACAGGAAAGGCACCGATTTGAGAATGTTGATATATTGAATATTCCTCGTGTTTTAGTATCAGTGCAGCAGCTGTGGGCCGACTAGACTGTAACGGCCCCACAAAGGAAGCTTTTGTTTAGCACAAAGGAGGACGCTATAGTAGTTTATTAGCAGTGCAGCAGAATTCACATGTGTTTAACGGCCCAGATGAACTATTTGCTTTAAGCAGATTGAAGCTGAAAGGAAAGCTTGTAATGATGTAATCAGTGAGTCCTGTGGACACGCGTTGGGTACATTTAGATTAAGACTCATTTAGAAAAGGAAACTTTTTATTATTTTCTTATGCATTTTCTTATTTATTTTAGTGAAACGAAGCCACAGAAAGTAAAATGTGAGGCGCCCCCCCCCCACGGTGTTAATACAGTAACGAGCTTAGAGCAGGTGGGGCCTCAGCAGATGCTCTGAGGCTCTTAGCATTAGCACAGAGCCCACCGGGTCTCACACGTGCACTAAAGCTCACAGACGAAGACGGAAGAAGCCGCTTCGTCTCAAAGTCAACTTGACGTGGTTTGAAAGTCGCGTTGCGGCGCCTCCACGAGACCACGTCTTAATGCGGAAGCCGTCAGGCCGGTAATCCGCCTCGGAGCAAAGATGGCCGACCACCAAGGAGCCAAACGTCCCCCTCCCTGCCCGTCCCCCCCCCGTCCACTTTCCTCTCCGTCCGGGGAGTCAGGCGCCACTCGTTGGGTCAGTGAGAAATCATTTATTATTTATAGATCGCGGGCTGCTTCTGCTGCTAGGACCCAGTGCCAAGAAACAAAGCAGGCTGACATTCTGAACTGGTCACAAGATCCGAGCCCCCCCCCCCCACCCCCCAACGTGGCCCCTCAGACAGGCGGAGGGCCGGTAGAATCAGACCAGAGGTGAAGCAACAGAGATCGCTGAAATTCACCATTTATTAAAGGTCAAAGGTTTGTGCTCTCCTCTCTTCTGTGGCGCGTCATGTGGTTTCATGAGCAGGATTACACAGAAAACGAGTGCACACCTGGGATCAGGGTGACCTTTGGGGGACCACGTCCTGCACGTAGGAGCAGCTTCGTCCTCCCTAGAGGACACGGCACTTCACAGACTTAACGGAAAACATTATGGAAAGATTTAAAAATGTTTGTTTCAATGGGAAAACTCCTCACATATTATTCGCTTTACTGTAAAGATTTCTTTTGATCTAAATTCAGAAATTAAGTTGTCATCATTTGTAGTCTTAATATCATAAGCTTGATGTCATCATCACATCCAGCAGCATCCGCCTTTCTAACGCAAAACGTCTTTTACTTTTGAAACATGAACACAAACGTTAAACCACCTCAGATTATCTGCTATCGAGAGCATGCAAACTTCCTACAAGAGTTCCTACAAATGTATTTAACAAGCAGCTTGAGGTGCAAGAAGCTAACGGCGCTAACGGGTTAGAACAGAAACAGACGGTACAGTACCTGAAGAGAAGCTGCTCTGCCTTCTTGCAGAAGGTCTCTTGCTAAAGAGCTTTTCACTCCCCTCTTCCAGGGAGCTCCGCCCCCTCAGGTGGGATTAAAAACTGGGAGCCAATCGCAAGTTCAGGAAACAAGCCAATGAGGGGCCTCCAACATGAGCTGCCCGACTACCCAGGACCACCTCGGGTCCGATGTCAACCCCTTCGACCTTGAAGTTCTCTACTCACACTCTGACCCTGACAAGCGACTTCAATGCGGAAAAACAAGTCGGCCACGTTAAAGATGCACAATAAGGGCGACGCAACCACATACAGACGATACAAAGGAGTCAACATGAACAGAGTTTAGGTACAGAACAATGTTTAAAGGAGACACTAAAAACCAAAGAACCGGCCTCGAGCAGACGGCAACATTCAGTTCTTTAAAGTGAAATCAAAGCTTCACGTGTTAAAGCTGCATTCTCTGTAGTGACCAGCAGGGGGCGACTCCTCTGCTCCCATAGACGTCTATGAGGAAATGACTCTACTTCTCTGTAGTGACCAGCAGGGGGCGACTCCTCTGCTCCCATAGACGTCTATGAGGAAATGACTCTACTTCTCTGTAGTGACCAGCAGGGGGCGACTCCTCTGCTCCCATAGACGTCTATGAGGAAATGACTCTACTTCTCTGTAGTGACCAGCAGGGGGCGACTCCTCTGCTCCCATAGACGTCTATGAGGAAATGACTCTACTTCTCTGTAGTGACCAGCAGGGGGCGACTCCTCTGCTCCCATAGACGTCTATGAGGAAATGACTCTACTTCTCTCTTGATCTACTCCCCTCAGTAAACATTGTAAACATGAGTTTATGGTCTCAGTCTCTAGTTTCAAGTCTTCTTCAATACAGCATGATGTTCATTTAGTGAATTATGGTCCACGTAGTCAAACAGACCATAAAGCAGGGGGTGTTTTAGGGCGGGGCTACACAGTGATTGACAGGTCTCTAATAGACCATAACACAGGGGGTATAACCAGCCTGTCATATCCTTCTCTAACCATCATCGTAAAAGATTTAAAAATACATACATGATTCACATCGTGTGCTTTTATTGTGTGTAATTATGTACATGACACAGATGAAACATTATGCAAAGAGGAAACAGCAAAACTGCAATTTCAAAGTATACAGGGATGTAAGAAAGCGAGGATCTTCTATACTAATGCATTTAAGCACACTGACATCAGTAATGTACAAATAAACATAACAAAACTCAGAGTGGACGAGACAGACAACAGTGATCCCAAGAACAGAAGAGACATCTCGCTCTAAACAAGTTCAGCCTACTGACATTCTTTCAAACAAATAGTGCAGAGATACTTTCCTAATACAGTCAACAAGGTTTAAAATATCATTAAAAGGTCACATTTACAAGGAACTAATAATAATGGTGATTAAAGAAATGTAACCGTAGGGCGCTGTATCACGTGACAAACCTTTGAGGCCGTAGCTCTTGAAAAAGAGAATGACGATTATTCAAAAAATTTACAAAAACACGGAAAGACAGTTTGATCGTCACGCAATGTGAATAAAACCATTTTCAGATTTGGTGTTTTTGCTGTAAAATGCAAATCCAGTGCATTCTGTGTAGTTGACCAGCAGGGGGCGACTCCTCTGCTCCCATAGACGTCTATGAGGAAATTACTCTACTTCTCTTTAGGGACCAGCAGGGGGCGACTCCTCTGCTCCCATAGACGTCTATGAGGAAATGACTCTACTGCTCTGTAGTGACCAGCAGGGGGCGACTCCTCTGCTCCCATAGACGTCTATGAGAAAATGACTCTACTTCTCTCCTGATTTATTCCCTCAGTAAACATTGTAAACAGTTTATGGTCTCAGTCTCTAGTTTCAAGTCTTCTTCAGCACAACATGATGTTCATTTAGTAGATTATGGTCCATTTGGAGGGGAACAGCCCATAAAGCAGGGGGTGCTTTTGGGGCGGGGCTACACGCTGATTGACAGGTCTCTACCAGATGTGTATACAGTCTCTACGTCACTCCCCAAATTCCAGATATTGTAAATTTCTGTTCAGCATTCACCAGCAACGGCCGTAGTCCAAGATGGCGACGGTGAAATCGCAAAAACTCCAGGCTCCAAAGCGGTAGTCAACAAACCCAACGTGGCGTCACATCGACTGCGCCCACTTCGTAGATACAGACCATAAATGTAGACCACCTCTATGTAGAAAACACTGCTCAGTTAAAGAAACACTGGATGAGAAAGAAAGACAGATATTTTCCTCTGGAGTTGGTGGAGACCAAAAAAATGGAGCAAAATGAGCAAAATGTTCTCCTTCAATTTGTTGTGTGGACACAAATAACTCGACGTGAATGACGAGCTGTTCCGTGGTTGCTGGATGTGTAACAGGCCACTTTTAGCTAACACATCTTCACGTGATGATGATGATGATGATGATGAGTGTTGTGTTTAAAGGGTTGTTCCGCTGCGCCAAAGGGGCCAAAAAGATGTTAAAACAGTCTCCGTTTCATGAGCAGCGTGTGCTTAGCGTCCATTGATGCATATCTAAAAATCCTGCAATTTTCTTTCAGATAGTGTAAAACCTCCCTGACGACGATGTGCGAGAGAGGCATGTTGTTTGTATATTTACAACGCGGTGGAAGCAACCGATCCCTCTGTAGCTACCTGATCGGCTGCTGACACCAAAAACATCATCTTGTGATTCATAAACGTACACATTGAATATTCACACAAGGCACATTATCTCCTGAGTTTCCTGAGCACAATAACTGGCGGTGTGTCGTGAAACAACCCCTGCTGTATTATTTAAGAGAGAATCTCAAGTTCTGTCCGTGATTGATATTTTAAAAAGTATTTACATCGCGTATGAAATGAAGTTGTAATTAGCCGGGTGGGACTCGGGGTTCGATCTTTAACGAGAGCTCGTAGAGGGTGTCTTCATCCATCACTAGCGTCTTATCCAGGAGGAACTGAGTCACCTGGCGGGAGTAAGAACGTTATATTAATATTACAATAATAATCACTCCCCCGTCATGAATAAGGCATCTTGGTGGACACACCTTGGGGCTGGTGCTCTATCCTGTAAGGTGCTTGTTGGACCTGGCGGATCTCCCCGGATGATGTGAGAGATCTGAGAGGGAAGAGAGGGTTTTACAGTGAGGGGTCAGCTGACCGTTAGCTCGCACGGCTAATTTTAGCTTCTCCTGTCAAGCTAACGGGGGGATAACGAAGGAAGATTTCCCATCAAAATGTATGTTTTTTAACCAGTGCATCTGATTCATTTAGAGAATGGTGAGAGGGGATAAAACATCTGACCATCCTCATCTTGGAGAAGTTCACCAGGCCCTCCTTGGTGAAGTTGGGGGTCCCCTCCTCGATGAAAGCCAGGTCGGTGAGGTACATGCCCAGGTAGGGGACGCACGGCGGGTTGCAGCTGCACAAACACACACGACCACGTCAGTCGGCTTCTAAACCAGCAGATTCAAACCTGCGGTGTCAGAGAGCGGTTTACTTCTTCAGCGTCTCCCGTAGATTCTTGAACCTCCCTTCTGACGACACCGTCTTCTGCAGCCGGTCCATCAGGGCCTTGGTCTATGAATCACGAGAAGAACCAGAACAGTGTTGATCCCTCTTAACTCTTAACCCACCTTAACCCTTGAAGGCCGTAACCCTCAAAAAAATTAAGGCTTATCGGCCTTACCCTTAACCCTCATAACTCTAACCCTTAACCCTCATAACTAACCCTTAACCCCTTAACCCTCATAACTCTAACCCTTAACCCTAAAACCCCTTAACCCTCATAACTCTAACCCTTAACCCTCATAACTCTAACCCTTAACCCTAAAACCCCTTAACCCTCATAACTAACCCTTAACCCTAAAACCCCTTAACCCTCATAACTCTAATGCCTTTGCCTAAACCCCTTAACCCTCATAACCAACCCTTAACCCTAAAACCCCTTAACCCTCATAACTCTAACCCTTAACCCTCATAATTCTAACCCTTAACCCCTTAACCCTCATAACTATCCCTTAACCCTTAACCTCTTAACCCTTAACCCTGCATTCTGACCTGCTTGCAGACTTTGGCCCAGGTCTTCTTCAGCCTGTAGATGGCGCTGCGGTTGAGGGCGGAGGTGATCTCCAGCACGCCGTTGTAGTTGTTGAGGCAGCGGCAGATGTCGGCGACGGCGAGCCACTTCTCGATGGCGCCGGCCCTGGAGCCCACGTCAGTGTGGGTCATGATCTGAGACGCCACCAGGTTGCTCATCTGTGGGGTTACAGAGCGTCTGTGACCATTCAAATACGAACCCTGCTGCTTTGTGTGTTACTGTTCATTCTTCTGTGAAAGTGTAAGCAAAAGCTTCACTTCTTTTATATAGAACGGTTGTTTTTAATATTTATTCTACCTAAATTAACATTAAACCAATGATTTGATTTAGAGCTGCAACCACTTAATATTTCCATTGTTTATGTACAATCCACTAATTATTATTTAATTAATTATTTTCTAAATAAACTCTTCACAATGGGTGGAAATTACGCATTGAAACGTCCTACGTTTTCTACGTCAAGTGAAAAAAACATTAACTTCTGGTTTTAGCGGCCAAATGGGAGAAAGTCCTGTTTGTGCTCCTCATACTGTGGTGTGTATAAGTGTGTATGTGTGTGTACGTATAGGATCAGAACAGGAGGCTCTGGGCTCACGTCGTTGAAATGCTGGCTGGTCTTCATGATGTACGGAGTCCTCTCCGTCTTGTCCACCTTCATCCAGCCCTGACCGAGGAACTCCCTGCAGGGTCACAGCAAAGCGCCTTTTCACAACACGTGTTTCTACTTCATGCAGCTTGAAGTGAGACTTTTTAAACCCACTTCCTTCCTCTGACACCTGTGAAGCCTGCAATGTGTCGACGGGATGGAAAACGCTGCAGAAACTCACACAAAGTTCCAATTCTAAAAGATGTTTTTCCTCTTTTCATTACGCGTGTTTGCGTGTGATGATCGTGGGCCGCGTTGGGCTTCCGGGCGGTACTCACTCGTAGGGGATGCCCCTGAACACGATGTGGTCCAGCAGCGTGATCTGCTCGGCCAGCTCCATCGCCGAGAGCGACTCGAAGCACTCGGCCTTCGGGTTCTCCGCCTGCAGGCGGCACCAGTTACAAAGGGACAAAGAAACTAGATGCTCAACGTGCAGCACTGGAAAGACTAACGGGGTTCCTCATGCGTGGAACCCAGCCTGGGACTACGCTACAGGGGCCGGGGGTTCTTACCGCGATGAAGTGGAGGAGGGGACAGCTTCTCTGGAGATAGATTGTTCAAAGAGGCGCTTAAAGACGCATTCACCAAAAGTACTTCAGAGGCACTAAAAGGAGGTACTACTGACCATCTGCAGTATGTCCTCGATCTTCAGCTGAGCATCGTCCTGGTCCTCCTGAGAAAGAGCACTGAGGAGCAAACAGGCAGTCAGTGTACCACTACCACTGTAGTACTACTGGAACAGAACCAAGTACGTTCACTCGAGAACTGGGAACCGCCAAGAAGCGCCGGGAACCGCAAGGTTGGCAGTTCGAGCCCCGGCCGGAGTTTTTATGCAAAATGCACACTAGTGAAGCAGGAATGTTAATCCGGAAACATGAATTAATCCTTTAATTTAAAACATTCATTCATTTTGTACCTTAAGATGTTGGAGGTGGCTTTCCTCTCTTGGGGGAGCAGGTCTGGATCTCGTATCACTTCCTCCAGCAGACAGATGACCCCCATCTTCAGCTCGCTGCTCATGTCAAAGTCCTGGAGGAGCCACACGCACACGCACACACACGCACACGCACACACACACACACACACAGATATTATGTCATGCCGACTATGCAGGGAGCATTTCTAAAGGTCAGGGTGTCTGTGAGCAGAGCGCCCTCTACAGGACGTTTACACCAGATGTTATAACATTAAAACCACAAACTAAATGCAATCAAATTAAAAGAAAAACCTCTTTGGCTCAAACTGGTCTGGGACATTTAATTCAAAGAAACAATACATGGAAAAGACCAGACAAAACTAGAAGGGACCAAATAATATAATGAACCTCCACATCCAGGTACCGAAATAGCCTCTTATATAACTTTTAAAGAAGACCGCAGCCCTTCTTCTTCTTCGGGGGGGGGAGGCTGACCTTTCTATGAGCTGGGCAGTGGGGGAAAAGACACCGAGAGCAAAGAGCAGCCAACGACGGACTCCTCCGGCTGTCCTCTCTCCAGGTGCGTGGAGGACAAGTGGGAGGAGTCACCGCGAGGCCTCACCTGCGAGTGCTTGGAGACCCAGTGTCGCAGCACGTTGAGGACTCGGTTGGTCGCGGCTCTGCGGATGATGAACTCCTTGTCGCAGACTTTGTCAGAACCAGTGAAAGCTGGAAGAGAAGAACATGAAGCGGATGTCAAACCGCTTCTGTGGGGGAAGAAACGCGTTCGGGCCAAAGACGGAACAAAAGGGTCCACGCTGAATCGGTTTTGATAGAACGACATTTTGTGACTCCGTGTGTGCTTTAAATTAATAATAGAATACATTCAAGTCACTTTCATGTAAACCGGATTGCTCCATCAGACAAAAACAATCAACTTTGTTGGAACAATGCAAATAAAGAACTAATATTAAATATACTAAAAAGGTCATTGGAATTTAAGTATATGACTTAGTGTTTAACCAGTAGATCATAGTCAGGTTTCAACCCGGCCGTGGTTTAAAAAAGACAGTGTTTGTGTTTTAAAGCCCCACCAGCCTTAAATATTAATAGTTCAATTAACACAAAGACGCCACCACGAAGCATTTCTGCTTAACTACGTTTTAACTTGAACAGTTCAGTTCAAATCTAAAACTTGTCAGAGTTCTTTGAGTTAAAGAGAAGAAGTAAGTGGACGTAACTAAACACGCATGTGATGTTTTACATGCTTCTCTCCATAGTTTGTCTCAGTGTCCTTGAGCAAGGCACTGAAGCCCCACGGCTTCACAGCAGCACACTGCTCCTTAATCACATCACATGTCATTTATCTGACGCTTTTATCCAAAGCGACTTACAATAAGAACATTTCAACCATCAGGACACAAACTCAGAAGAACAAGAAACAACAAAAGTGCAATTTCATCAAATAAGCCGATGTACAACTTGCTGTAGATAAGAACCATCATAAGTCCAATGTAAGTGCTCCAGTTAGTTGGTGTGTTAGTGGAGGTAGAGTGTGAAGAGGTGAAGGCTCTCTGTGGTCCTGATGTCTTCAGAGACCTCGTGGAGTGTTTTGTTCTCAGCGAGGAGGAACAAGCGGTTTATCGCATCTCTCTCTTGATGCACTAGTGTGAAGTCCACTCTTTCATTACTTTAGTTAATTATATTCTGCATTATAACATGAACCTGCATAAAGTGGAGTAGAAGCCATGAAGCAGCATACGGCCGTACTCACCCTGCGAGCTGCCGTGCCCGGCGGCGGCGGTGGCGATGGCGAAGGCCGACGCCGACGACATCGTGCAGCGGGAGTTGTCCCCCGGCGAGACTGTGGGGACCCAGAGACGGTAAAGCGAATAGAACCAGAATAATACAGTGATAGACAGCGTGTGTGTGTGTGTGTGTGTGTGTGTGTGTGGCGCGTCGAACCTCCCGACTGTCGGTAGCGGAGGTGCCGCGGCGTGGAGGGCGAGCGGCACGGAGACATGTCGCCCGCCTCGACGCCGCCCGGCGAGTCGGGGAAGAACTTGTCCAGAGAGACGGTCTCCAGGACAGCTGTTAGAGGGAGAAGGGAGTGTGTTCAGCCTCCTCCCCTCTGGTACCGATGACGTCATTAACAGAACTACGTAGAAACCGATCTTCTCTCTGGTGGAGGTCTACACTGGACCAGGACTACACGGAGACCGGTTCAGAACCAGTTAAAAGTCTGTTTGGTTTCATTTCATCTTCGGAACCATCCAACTCTGGTGCACCTTCGTCTTGACTCAATAATTAATAATTAATGTCCCTCAATCTGCCATAAAAGGCTAAAAAAATAAGCTGAAAACCATTTGTGACAAAAGATGATCTAAAAATAATCTTCAATAGAACCTTTGCACCTTTGTTCTTTTGTTATTGGCGCGCTCTGCTTTTCACTCCTTTCAACACGTCATTTTACATTCGCTTCGTTGGTCTCCTGGCCCCCTCGCCCCCTCGCCCCCTCGCCTCCTCGCCTCCTCGCCTCCTCGCCCCCTCGCCCCCTCGCCCCCTCGCGGCCTCTAAAGAGCGGCTCTACCAACCCCTGCGGATGCTCCGCCTCAGCTTCCCGCAGAAGGCGTCGATGCACGGCAGCTCCCCGCCGACGTCCTCCCCGCCGCCGGCCGGGCCGGGCTCCGGCGAGCCGGGGGTCTTGGCGGAGACGGGGGGCGGCGAGGACGAGCCGGAGGCGGGACGGCAGGCGGGCGGCGGAGAGGGGAAGCAGGGGCCGTGGGTGGAGGTGGGCGAGTTGGCTGCGGAGGAGGTGGGCGTGGCAGAGAGGTCCAGGGGGCCGGCTCTCCCGCCGACGGGGGAGCTGAGCGACAGCTTGCGGCAGCGGACGGGGGAGGAGGTGCGGGAGGGGAGGGTGAGGGGCGGCGGGGAGGAGAACTTGCGGCCCAGCCTCGGGGATTTGTTGTTCAGGGGGTCCGTCCCCCACGAGCCCTGGTTGGTGGCGAAGAAGAGCTCCAGAGACCTGAGAGGAAGAGGAGGAGGAGGAAGAGGAGGAGCTGACGTGAGCATCGGTCCCCGAGCGGCCGACCGGACTCTACCTGCCAGCTTATTTACTTGGACTGATCCAGAGCGAGCTGAGTGATCTTCAGACTGTAGTCGGGACAGAGGGACATGATGGACAGACGATCACATGAAAGCTGCTCGATCCTGGGACAGTGACAGCGGGAGGAAGAGGAGGAGGAGGCGGGATGACGGATGAAGAAAGGACGAACAGAAGAACATGCGGAGATGCAGAGATGGAGTGAATGCACGTCACCACGACAAGACATCAGGATGAGACACTGAAGACACGTCCAACCCCCCCACCCCACCCCCGCCTGGTCCTCCCCCGGCTCCTACCTGACGGGGATGGAGGTGAAGGGCTTCTTGTAGATGTCGGCCAGCTTGTCGATGACCACGGCGGCCGTGGTGAAGATGCGGTACGTGTGCAGGAAGGTGTTGAGGAAGTCGATGGAGAGGAAGCGCAGGTCGGTCAGCCGCTCCAGGAGGCGCTCCACGCTGGCGTAGCGGATCTGGGGCACCTTGCAGGAGTTCAGCGTCTTGCTGAAGCAGATGTCCACGTCGTCTTTGTGCAGCCGGGCGTCGGACCTCGAAGGGGAAGGAGGAGAGACGGTTGAGGCCTTTCTGTCGCCAAAATGGCAAAAACCAACGTTATCTTCGTTCTTCGCGGCTGCGAAGCCGAACCTCCTGGGACGGGTTTTCTTACTTGATCATGTGCGGCACCGACACCTTGGAGTTCTCCTCGAACACGCTGGTCATCAGGCCGTTGCACCGGATGTTGTCGATGCACTGACACACACACACACACACACACCGTCAGTCCTCTTTTGACCTTCTGACCTTCGACAGCCGGGAGGAGACGTGAGGCCCACCTGGCTGATGTCGCTGGTCCACGCCGCCTTCTCCTGGCGGGAGGGAGCCAGCAGGACGACGGAGAAGGACCCGCCGTCCGGAGGCTCCACCACCACCTTGAACTCCAGGTGGTTGAAGCCCTGACCGGCCGCGTTGTCTGCAGGTGGAGGGAAACATCCCAGCATCAGAAGCACCTTTACGTTGTTCCTGTTCTGGGTAAATGACCTTTGCCCCCCCCGCCCCTCAGTGATGGCGTGCCTCGCGTACTCACAGTCCTCGTCGCTGGCTTCCAGCTCCTCGATGAGAGTGCACTCGATCAGGGACAGCGTGCCGCCCTGCTGCAGGAGGAAACCAGTCTCTAAACTCTGCCTCGCTTTAAGATATGAAATGCATGGGGGGGGGGGACGGAAAGGGGGGGCAGGGGGGGCGGAACCTTCAGCAGGTGGAGCCTCTCTTCAGATGTCCGCGTGCAGATGAGGAAGTGCTTGGTGAACAGGAAGCACTGCCGCTCGCCCTCTTTCCTCAGGGAGAGCGAGCCCAGGCGCACCTTGCTGAGCATCTCCCGCTCGCTGCTGGACGGCAGCTGGACCAGGGAGCCTGTTCACAGGGGGGGGGGGGTTGTTTAGTAGACGCCCCCCCCCCCCCGAAGCATCAATAAAAGCAGCAAAATTGTGATATTCGATCGTTATTCTACATGTCTTATTTCAACGTTTGGTGCCTTCTAAATTCTGTGTCCTCCTCCTATTCTTCTGAGCTCTGAGGTTTTGCTTCAGGCGGATCTTTGCTGCTGGTTCTGATGATCATACGTGTAAATCAGCAACATACAGCTGAGGCCCGTAGACCCCCACCTGGGCCGGGGGAGCTCACCTTGCCTGACGAAGGTCTGGCTGGTGTCCAGCAGGATGTCACAGCCCTCCACGATCATCCTCTCGATGGCCAGGTTCTTCCTGATGTTCTCGGTGTCGCTGACCTCGTCGTGCATCATCCTGACGACACCAACAATCATCGTCATCATCATCATCATCATCGTCGTCATCATCGTCGTATGCGTCCTCCGTGCGCACACTCACTTGGACAGCTCCTCCAGTTTGGATTTGGCGAACTCGAGGCTCTTGCGCTCCACGTGCTCGTGAGGCGTGTGGGCCAGCAGCTCGTGGAGCGTGATGATGTAGCGGGGGATCTGCGGCGGGAGGAAACACGTCTGAGGGGCGGCCGCTTCGCGTTCACTGAGTTCGTGCGATAACGGACGTCGTTAGCGAACATGAGACACAAGCGTCACTTCAGCTGTGAAAATACTCAACCGCAAGTAAAATATAGATTCAAAACTGTGTCAGAAAACGTACTTGAAGTACGACAAAATACTGCAGTAAAATGCTTTTGTTTTACATGTGATTGTGCTGCGCCGCGTGTACTGCTCCTGAAGTACCTGGAACATGGGGTACGTGAGGAAGGTCTCCAGCATGCGGCCCTCACACGCCGCGTTGGACTCGTACTGCTTCAGCAGCTTGTCGAAGTCCCGGTTCTGTTTGCAGTTGGCCAGAACCTGCAGGCTGTACTGGTGGTTCCGCACAAACTCCTGGTAGATGTTCAGCATCGGCAGCAGGATGTCGAACAGGTCGGCTACGAAAACGCAAACAAGCGCACAGGGAGAACGCGGGGTCAAAGGTCATAATACTAAAACGTCACGAGACGAGGAATAAGGAGCAGAGATGATGTGAGATCATTTATGGAGGACACCTCAGTGTGTGAAATACAGGGTCGACTCTCCACACCTCCTCAAAGACTACGGGCGGGTCGAGGGGGGGGGGGGGTCTCCAAAAATTGCAAGAAAGTTTTGACAGTCACGTTCTCGTAGAGGTCTACGGGACCGGAGGAGCTGCCCCCTGCTGGTCACTACGGAGGCGGCGGCCTCGGTATTTCACACACTGCTTGGAGCAGCTCCTCGTGCGGTTGTGGTCGGTTCTGCAGGACTGACCCAGGACCAGCGTGGGCCAGTTGGCGATCCGAGCTTTGAGACCTGGTGGAAGATCTCGTGCAGGAACATGATGGTCTCGCTGGAGGAGGAGAGGCATTCTCAGTGTGACCGTGGAGGTGGATGAAGGAAACACACTCGCGTGTAGAATAAGAACCTGTTCAGGAACACGGTGCTGACGTCGTCGTGGCTGATGGGCGGCTTCTTGGAGCTGGCCGCCATGCGGAGCGGCCGCAGGAAGCAGTTGACCAGGATGGACAGCTGGTGGACGTACTCCGTCTCCGCCTCCACCATGTTGAAGACGATCTGGTTCCTCTTCCTCATGCTCTCGGCGTGCGGCGAGCTGATGTAGTCCTGGACGATGATCTTCCACCTCCTCCGGCACAGCCAGCCGCGCATGAAGCTCTGCACCTGCACGCCGGCGGCACGCTTAGGCCGCCGTCCCTCACACCCCCCCCCCGGCCCCCCCAACACGCTGCGACCATTTACCTTTCTTGATCCTTTTTGATGTCGGGTCTTCCTCCTCCGGGTTGAGCTGCTGAGGCTGCATCCTGCCCTTGGGTTTTGTTCACCACGACGATCTGCCGGCACGAAGGTTCAGATTATGGATTTTAATAAAGTTACAACATTCTATGATATTCGAGACTCGAATAAAGTAAATGAGACACATACACACACACACACACACACACACACACACACCTCGGCCTTGAGCCTCTCGATCTCGGCGTCCTGGTCCTCCAGCTGAGTGCGCAGCTGATTGGCTGCGATCTTCTCCGTCTCCATGATCTGCACCAGGTGGATGTACTTCTGCATCAGGATCTCACGCTCGATGATGATGTCAGAGTAACTGAGGGGGGGGGGGGGGGGGCGCGTTAGGACGCTCTAATCCCCAAAAAAACTTTTTTGGGCACTTTGAAAAAGGGATTTTTAAAAAAAGGGCTTTTCATTTGGTGCTACTCACTCGGTCTCCCCGGTAACCGAGGGACGTCTACCCCCCTCTAAGCCTTCAACGGAGACTTTGTCTTTATTAGCGTAATGCAGTCGTTACATAAGTTACAAATGTCATTTTCCCTTCTAATAATCGTGGTGTTAGCGGCAGAAAACTGGCTCCACGTTGACAAACTGCAACACCTTCATACTCGTATTGTCATAAAAACAGCATTAATACAACAAACATCACTGCTGTTCGACACTTTTTTGTGTACTTTTCAGTGGGCGGATTACAAAGCACATTTACCCAAGTGAAGTACTACGACGTCAAAACTGTACGGAAGTACTTGATTATTTTAAAGTTCCACTTCACTACATTTCTGAGAAAGATTTTTACTGCAGCAACAATTCTAAAATAGCATTTATTAGTGTTACAGAGCTTATTACGTTGCAGTACTACTAGTAATCTACCCAGTACTACTACTACTACTACTACACACAACTGGTTACTCAATGACAAACTCAACATGCAAATACTTTGTTACCAATAAAAAGACTATTCTATAATAGTCGAGCTGCTCTGCAGCGACTCATTTTGCTTTTATTATTGAATATTTGCTTTAAATTCAGGACTTAATGGAGCATTTTTCGTCATGCAGATAATAAACAGGCGGGAATAGAGATCAAGTCAGTGATGTAACCAGAGCGCCACTCCAGCACCAGTGTGACCTAAATGTGAACCGCTGCGAGCAGAACGCACGCACACACACACACACACGCACACGTTAAGCACTTTATGCCACATGTGCATCAGCAGCAAGTAGAAACGCTGTTATTTTACACCTTAAAACACGAAAGATGACTTTGTGTGTAATGAATTAAATGTTGTGACATTCAGTGTAAAAATGTCTCCTGTGATATTATTATTATTATTATGTCAGAGCAGCGTGTTCTCGCAGTAGTTTCTGATACTTTGTGCACAGTGGTTCCCAACATCGGGGTCGGGCCCCTCCAAAGGGTCACCGGATGATTCTGAGGGGTCGGGAGACGACTCTTGGGAGGGGGGACGGGGGGAGTCAGAGTTACGTACTTCCCCCGTTGATGCAGTGACCCCCGACCCCCCCGGACGTACCTGGCCTGCTGGATGCACTCCACCCACTCGTTGCAGTCCGACTCCTCCTCCGACCGCAGCTCCAGCGGCTTCTGTCCATCGTGGCCGAAGATCACCAGGAAGTAGTGCTGCGCAGGGAAAGCAACCAATCGATCAATAAATCAATCAAACTTCACTTCAGACTCAGAGTCCAGATGAGTCAGGACTACACACGCACACACACACACACACACACACAGACACACACACACACACACAAGTGAAACATGTGGGAATCTTTGACTGTATTTTCTTGATTGTGACTAAAATGCAGGAAAACGTTGGAAAAATTTCCCCAAAACGTCTGATTTGAGTCTCAGATTCCTTCAGGCAGCGTTGTGATGTCCACCTCCACCGCTGAGCCCCCCCCCCCCGGCCCACCCGGCCCCCCTCGGGGATGTAATCTGGCCTGAACGAGCTTTGCTCTGATTATCGGGCTACTTTATTATTAACTGCAGAGGATTACGCTGCTCAGAAGACTCAGAGGGACCAGCCGGAGGCCTCCGGCCGTCTATGAAATGATGAAGATGAAGGTGAGCGGTAAACTAGGTGACCCAGCTGTCATCGCAGCTCGTCATCAGCGTCGGAGATCTGATTAAGTGACTTACAGTTAAAAGATAAAAGAGATTAAAGTAATGTTGAGAAATGCTTCAATCTTCGGAGTAAATGTGAAATCATCCAAAGGAACAAAAGCTCACGCAACAAATAAAACATTATTTCATTTGAAGGTCGGAATCGAACACATGACAGAGAAAAAGACAGAAAACACGTTTTATATTCCACCGTAACACAGATGCAAAACCAGGATTATGTTTTAATAATTAACAATGAATCACCTGCTGCAACATTAAAGCTCATTTAGCCGTGTTGTTGTTAACCTGGAGGACATATTTTATGCCACGGAAAGCACATGTATGTGGATGTAGACGTGTTGATGCTCTGCAGCAGCTTCGTGTCAATAACAAGAGCTTTTATTTGTCTTAATTCCATTTATTGATTTAGCAAAACCAACCGGCCTTTTTATTTTGTTTCCTTTGTAAGATCGATCCTGCAATAAATAACTTATTTAGACTCCACAGATCACGTGATATTTGTTCCCAACGACCTGCAGATGAATAAACGAGTGGAACTACAGATGTGTGAGACATGAGGACACGTGTCCTTCTAGCTTTCTACTCTCCATCACAACGTCTGACCTCGCGTTTGCCCCGGAGGCAAGAGGAGGCCGGGAGAGCGGCGCGACACACTGGACCACAGAGAGGCTTAAGGGCCCGTGTGTGCGTTAGTGTGTGTCTGTGTGTGTCTGTCTGTGTGTTACATAACCGCCAGGGCTCGCTCAGCTCCTCGCATTGCTAATGCAGCTTCCACGGCCACGAGCCGCTTTAAGCTGCAGGATAACAATGAGGGACGGGGGGGATCTCAAAGAATATGTGTAAGACTGTGTGCTTAATATAAAATACTCGTATATATAATAAATAAATAAATCCTTTATGGTAGAATCTCTGCGTTAATCTGAAGAATACTTTGGGTGTAAAACGAGCGTCTGATACAAACTACAGCCGTGTGTAAGAAACGGAATCAGGTTTTATTGCACTGATTCATCTCATCAGTAGAAACCAACAGGCCCAATGCGACACATTGCTGGTTTTGCACTTTTCTTTTTGTAGAGATGGGGGGGAGGGGGGGGGGTAATGTGCATAGAGAACGAAGAATAACAGGTTAGAGACAGTTGTTCTACTCTTATGTAACCACACATTCATGTCTCCAACCAGGTTCAGACAGTACGTTTAGAATAGAGGAACAGGACACACACACACACACACACACACACACACACACACACACACACGGCTTCAGGACATCCCCACACCTTCACTCCCACAGGTGGACGTTTCCGACCCGGGGAGCCGGTTGGGCGTCAAACAGGTGCACACATTCATCAGTCGGCAGGTGTGTGGAGCCGGTGTGCAGACAGTGGCTGTGGGCTAAAGGCTGTTAGCACAGCGGCGCTAGCTGCAAACACAGAATGGCCCCGTTTTATGAGACAATATATATATATCTAGATTGTTTTCTATAACTGCAAGAGCGAAGCTGTCAAACGTTGAGAATGTACTCATTTATTATTCACCTATTTCACGCTTCTAAATGTCTCTGCGTGGATGAAAATTTCCGTTAAATAGATTTTTTGTAACTTTCTTTTATCTGCAGCTGTTTTGCAGCTTTAAAGAGGCGCCGCATCAAGCAGACGAGTCCGTCAGAGGTTACCGGTGAAGTCAGTGGAGCATTTAGCAGAGAGGGTGGAGACCCAAACAAAGCGAAAAGAGGGAGAATGTCCATGACTTCCATTCTTCAGGTGAATGAATGAAGAGTCTCCTGCTGATGTTCCGCTGCACATGAGGAGCCTCCTTTAGGAGGTGATGCTGTAATCTGATGATGTGTAAATGTCGTGTTTAAAGCTCTGCTGCACCTTTAAGTTTGACTCCTCCTCACACGAACATCAGCACCGTCGGCAAAGACTACAAAGAGACACCACATGACTACAAAGAGACAAAACGTGACTACAAAGAGACACCACGTGACTACAAAGAGACACCACATGACTACAAAGACACCACATGACTACAAAGAGACAAAACGTGACTACAAAGACACAGCGTGACTACAAAGACACCACATGACTGCAAAGACACAGCGTGACTACAAAGAGACAAAACATGACTACAAAGACACAGCGTGACTGCAAAGACACAGCGTGACTACAAAGAGACAGCACATGACTACAAAGAGACAAAACATGACTACAAAGACACAAAACGTGACTACAAAGAGACAAGACGTGACTACAAAGAGACAAAACATGACTACAAAGAGACCACATGACTACAAAGACACAAAACGTGACTACAAAGACAGAGTGACTACAAAGAGAAAAAAACAAAATGAGGTAGAAACAATCCGAAACGACGACACAAAGATGAAAAACAGCCAGAAAGAGACGATAAACTACCAAGAGGGGACACAACATAATCAAGACAGACATAACACAACAGCAAAGAGATGACATGAAAATTATTTATAAATTTGTCAAGAATAGACGAGTTCTACGTGAGAATCGGCCGCTTTTCTATGTTATGTAGTTCTGTATATTAATTATAATTATTAATTGTTGGGACGTCACACATAGAAATTCAGAACAACCAAAGAGACACAAAGTGACTCAGAGACACAGACGTAGCACAGAGAGGTCTCTTCTTCTCAGCCTGACAGTCAAGATGCTGCTCAAAGACCTTACAGGTGAAAACAGCCGTTATGATGCCGTTTGATTCTTTTCTCCTCGGAGCGTCGTTTTGTATCTGCTAGCCAGCGTTTCTCTGAAGTTCGGGGATCGACCGATCCGACTTCTTCTGTCGCCGTGCCGACCCCCCCGAGCTGAAGGAGCACAGGAAGCACGACGTGGTGATGGTTGTGTTCTCCGTTCTGCCTTTGCAGAGATTAGCTGCAGATATTGTGTTTGATTCTGATCGCTGCCCCCATCACTTTGTAACCAGCCGGAGCGGTGAGCAGCTGCTGTTTCTTTAATAAAAGCATGTTATAACTATTTAAAATGATTACATCTATTTTTCTTTTTGATAATAAGCAGATCCATGTACATATTTATTCATTATGTCCGAACAGACCGTGACTTTGCAATAGAAATACCAACACGTGGAGAACAGAAGTTGGATGAATGTGGAGGGATTCCGACTGTCTGTGTTTTTATTATAACGTCTACTTTCACCTCTCGTGTTTCGGCAGATTGTCGCCACATTAAATCAGGTTTTTGTGTGAAGTCCTGACCGAGTCCAGCGGGGCGAGAGGGACAGATTACCTGCATATCGATGAGGAGATTAGAGATGACAGATTTAATCCAGTCTGTGTTGAAATCCCAAATACACCGTATCAGTTCAGGATCCCAGCGGGGACCAGAACCGCGATCTTTAGTACAAAAACGACACAACGTCTTCAGCAGCAAAACAGGAAAATGGGTCATTTAAAATTAGCTTCTAATTCTGTTTACGGTCAAATCATCAACGGCATCACTTTTCTTTTTTATGGCTACAGGACGTTGTGGTTATTTTAACAGGATCATAGGCTGACGATGGGATGTGTGAATCTAATATTATATTACCAGACATGGACGTTTGAACAACAATTTAGAATGAAGGACCGGACTTCTGCACAGGAAGATAAAAAGGGACATTTCATGATTCTATTTGATAGTTTTAACCTTTGAGGTTCAGTGTCGGAGCGATGATGGAGTCACGATGGATCCGGGGTTTATTGCTGCTAATATGTAAGTATTAGGGAGCATAAGACGATGAACCTTCTGTTACTGGCACTGGATCAATTAGTTTAAGCGCATATCTTCATGATAATGGTTAAAAGAAATGAGCATTAATTGGCACAACGGGGCGAGAAATGTTAAAATGTTAATTAATCATTAATCATCAGTGATTCTGCAGACAAACATCTTTTATTCAAAATGAATGTTTGAAACAGTTGATTGATTGTCATCATTATTGACTCATTTCCCCAAAACGTCAGAAAGTGGTGATGATTCCTCACAGACTCAAATAGTCGATGGTAAAGAGCTTCTCCGGATGTGTTGACACGTTATGGTTTATGTCTGTATCATAGAGAGAAACTAACAAGAACCTCAGTTCCTCTAATGGATTCATGAGTATTTATAGTGCGCTTTTATTCGATTGTTTCAACGAGTAGAGAAACGTCCACGTGGAGTCCCGGAGGAGACTCACCTGCTGCTTCTCCGGCGGCTCCTTGCTGACGGCGCACACCTTGGGCGCGGGCGCGCGCTCGCACGCGCACCCCTCCAGCAGGTATATCCCCGAGGGCCTCGCGCTCTGGTCGTTGTCGAAGTAGAAGAGCACGTTCTGGTGCAGCGCGAAGTACTTCTCGGCCCAGCGGCCGTTCTCCGCCGTCTTCCTGCTCAGGAAGCCGCGCTTGGAGCCCTCTTTGCGCGCGACCACCGACAGGTAGAGCGCGTGGCCCTCGTTGTACCGGACGCCCTTCTGCATTTTAATCCGCTTTTTTGTTGTTGTCGTCGCTTGTTTTGGGTTCCGGTGGTTGAACTTCACACGGTGACCCGGGGCATCACATCGCGTCTCCCGGGGAGTAATCCGGGCTGAGCATGCTGGGAAAAGTGGGAGAGACCGTCTGTGCGTCTCTCCTCCGTCTCTCTCTCTCTCTCTCCCCCCTTTCCCCTTTCCTCTCCCTCTCACGACGCCTCCACGCTGCGGACCTCGGCTCAGGAGTTGCGCCGTCACGGAGCGCACAAACCGAAATAGCCGCAAAAGGGATCCGCGGTAATCGGCTTTGAACGCGACTTGAAGAGACAGGTCGCTGCGCGCGCGGGTGCGCGCCGGTGCGCATGGGCGCGTAAAGGCGCGCCAAAAGTTTCGGGGTGATTTCACACTATTTTTATTTTCTACTGTCGGTAAACACAGAAGCTTCCCGCCGTCTGAGATGTACAGATGCTACACGACATTATTCCGTTATATAATAATACACGTTCAATAAATCCATGTTTAAAACAGGTTTTGTTTGGGGAATTTAATTTGATAAAATTCATGTTGCTGTCTTCTTCACAAACACACGCACACACACACACACAAACACACACACACACACACACACACACACACAAACGAAAGGTGGACAGAAGCAGAAGTTTCTATTTCTGTAAACTGGATATGCTTCAGAAGACAGAAAACACAAACAGATGTCCTAGTGTGTGTGTGTGTGTGTGTGTGTGTGTGTGAGAGAGAGCCAGATGTTATGTGTGTGCGTGTATATTTGTGTATTTCTGAGTTAAGCTGCCACAGACTTTGCCTCTCACTTGTGTTCACTGTGCATGGTGTGGGGGGGTTGGGGGGAGGAAGGGGGGAGACGGGTTATAAACACACACACACACACACACACAAACAACACACAAGCATGCGGTGTAACAGATAACACATGAATCCCGCCATCAAAAGACACAATGTCTCACACAGATGTTCAGCAGCGTAGCTGTAGATGTTTTTCAGTCTAACATATTTGGAATTTTTTGACTTTATATTTCATGACCATTAATATTTTATTTTACATATTTTGACTACTTGACTTTAAATTGTTGACCGAATATTTTAAAACTTTTTTTGTGAAATGTTTGCTTTAATTATGTGGTTCTAGTATTTGTAGACTTTAAAAGTCTGAATACTTCTCAATTCTCAACTCTAATTGAGTACGTCACAAAGCCGGTAAGGGGGGCGGTGTGAACACATGAACCTCCTCCTCACAGAGCTCCATGTGAACACATGAACCTCCTCCTCACAGCGCTCCATGTGAACACATGAACCTCCTCATTACAGAGCTCCATGTGAACACATGAACCTCCTCATCAGAGAGCTCCATGTGAACACATGATCCTCCTCCTCACAGCGCTCCATGTGAACACATGAACCTCCTCATCACAGAGCTCCATGTGAACACATGAACCTCCTCCTCACAGAGCTCCATGTGAACACATGAACCTCCTCCTCACAGCGCTCCATGTGAACACATGAACCTCCTCATTACAGAGCTCCATGTGAACACATGAACCTCCTCCTCACAGAGCTCCATGTGAACACATGAACCTCCTCCTCACAGAGCTCCATGTGAACACATGAACCTCCTCCTCACAGCGCTCCATGTGAACACATGAACCTCCTCCTCACAGCGCTCCATGTGAACACATGAACCTCCTCATTACAGAGCTCCATGTGAACACATGAACCTCCTCCTCACAGAGCTCCATGTGAACACATGAACCTCCTCCTCACAGAGCTCCATGTGAACACATGAACCTTCTCATCACAGAGCTCCATGTGAACACATGAACCTCCTCCTCACAGCGCTCCATGTGAACACATGAACCTCCTCCTCACAGAGCTCCATGTGAACACATGAACCTCCTCCTCACAGAGCCATGTGAACACATGAACCTTCTCATCACAGAGCTCCATGTGAACACATGAACCTCCTCCTCACAGCGCTCCATGTGAACACATGAACCTCCTCCTCACAGAGCTCCATGTGAACACATGAACCTCCTCCTCACAGAGCCATGTGAACACATGAACCTCCTCATCAGGAGCATACGGGGCTTTAATAGCAGCGCTCATGGCCAGCAGAGGATTATTATGGGGGATTACTATCAGTGTGTGAGAGCTTCTCTGATCAGATCCACATCGTTCACGCGGTTTAGAGTCATCATCTGCCCTGAAGGGGCCCTCTGTCCTCTGCATGGAAATAGTGTTATAATTCATCTTCAAAATATTCAATTAGTTAAATACATGACCTCCAGAGCGGCTACTGAAGCTACCAGAGCGACTACTGAAGCTACCAGAGCGGCTACTGAAGCTACCAGAGCGACTACTGAAGCTACCAGAGCGGCTACTGAAGCTACCAGAGCGACTACTGAAGCTACCAGAGCGACTACTGAAGCATGCAGAGCGGCTACTGTAGCATGCAGAGCGGCTACTGTAGCATCCAGAGCGGCTACTGAAGCTACCAGAGCAACTAATGAATTTAGTCATTTTTACATAAACATTTTTTTTGAGATGTCATAGTTGTAAAAATATCAAGATAACATTTTAAAATGTTTTAAATGTCAACATTTCTAAGTACTAACCGTTTCAAACTGTTACCTGGCTGCGATAAGAGCACATTGCCACGTGCTGACATCTGGTGGTGCTTTCAGGAACTGCGCCCTGAAGTCAGTGTTTCTATGGCTACAAGTCTGGACAATTAACAACTGGGTTGGTAATCGTTTGGGCAGAGGATCCAAAGAACACTTTGTTTTGTTTTTTTATAAATCATGCAGAATTTTGTGAATCACGACACGCAGTTAATAATTATTAAATACTAAAGCAACAGCATCAGCATATCAACTATCTATTCTTTCTTTAGTGACTGTATTTTTTTAAATTCATCAATAAATCAATTGCGTCCTTCTGTCCTTTGACACCACAATGATCAAATCTCATGCTTTCAGAGTACATGCACAGGATCTTCCTCACACACACAACGAACAGTTCTTTAACATGTGCCGTCATCAGGCCTCCTTGACGGTTGTCATGGAGATGTCATTGGCGAGGTGGACAAAACTGTTTTCCTTTCTGTGTGTAACCAAGAGAGAAAAAGAGAGAGAGAGACACAGATAGACACAAAGAGGGAGAGAGAAAGTGCTTCAAGGCTGGAGTCTCACCATAAAAGAGAGAAATCCTTTCAGTGAATCAGACGCTCTGCGGCGCCGGTTGCTGTAGTGCTTCACCTTCATTGCACACGTCTTCGTCATCCGTTACCTGCTCCGCCTCTCCGTCACTCCGCTGACGCTGATGTTATCGTGGTGCTGATGCTGCTGCTGGATTAACAGTTTCTCACTGGCGCCTGACGACGAGTTGGGACACTTTGTCTGAGGAGCAAACCTGAGAGAAACCTTCAGAGCTGCTGCAGCTCCTCTGACTTTCTGTCAGGGACACACACACGCACACACACACACACACGCACGCACACACGCACACGCACACACACACGCACACACGCACACACACGTCAACTCAGCGCCGGATGCTCTGCAACATACATGAGAGGACTCATCCTGACTGAAGGTTGTTGGTAAGTACAATGCGCACGCACACAATCCACCCACAAATCGACACACACACAGACACACACACACACACACACACACACACACACATAGTGCAAAACATTTATCCCATACTGAACTTCTCTTTTTGTCCCACTCCGGTTCCTCCTGTTGAACGTGAAGCTTTTATTGCAGCATTTTGAGAAATTTTTCTCCATTCGAGAGTGTGTTGCTCAGCTTGTAACAAATACTGACACACACACACACACACACACACACACACACACACACACACACACACACACACACGCCTGTGATGTTAGAGGGCCCTCGTGGAGGACGAGTGTTGAGCAAAGCTTGTCCGAGTGAAGTGGAGCCTTTCTATTCTTAATCTGCAGGCGAGGCGGAAACAACACGCAGTGCGATGTGAGTGACACAGTGTGTGTGTGTGTGTGCGTGTGCGTGTCAGAGTGTGTGCGTCAGTATTAACACACTGATTCGGGAGTAGAAGACGCAGATCCTTTTAGACATTTAGACGTTGGATTTTAGTTGTGACGTATTTAGCAGTAAACAATAGGTGGGAAACTTGTCCCTTCCTGCATCACCTGACGCACCTGCTGCTCCTCCGGGTGACGGAGCGCCCCCAGTGGCCACAGAAATAAATGCATAGAAAGAATCAAATAATCAAACTGGTCTGCAGGTTAAAACCTCACTGAAGTAAAAGTATTAAAGCTAAATGTACTTCACATGTTGCGTAATCTGGAAAGACTTTTTCCTTTTATCTATCGAATATCCATCATCCGCACTTAAAGGAACATCTCATCCATCAGTTAATCATGTGATGGTCCAACCGGAGAGACGGATCAAAGAGGAGCAGCATGAGACCAGCTCCATCTCATCTGTGCACCACGGGGCAGCAGGTGGTGTTCGGTCTTTGACACACACGTGTGGCTGCCAGAAGAAGAAGAAGAAGGAGGAGCTTGGTTGTCGTCGTCGTCGTTGTTGTTCATGGTGTCACCGCTGACGAAGAGGAGGAAGAAGACAGAAGATGGTGAGAGTGGGAAGAGGATCTCAGATCTTAACTGCAAAGCCTCCTCCTCCCTCCAAAGATCTGGATCTGGGTCCGTCCTCGGTGGACTGCTGGAGGAGGTTCTGGCGAACCTGCGTGATGTCATCTGATTTTAGTTCTTCTTCATCTACTAATGATGGGATATGTGACATGACCTCCATCCTTATTATATTATTAGCCCTGATCCTTTTGACTCCTCCCATAATGTTTGGAAATGATCTTAGTGTCATCTTGGTAGTTCCGGTGACGTTGGCATTCTTTAACGGAGATTTGCTTAAAAACGTATCTGCATGATTCTCTAATAATCTTTTGATATTTTCCACAGAAACCTGCTATCTGACGGAGAGGAGAGGCATGGAGGCGGAGGGCAGCGCTCCCCGGGCGGCGATGGAGTCAGGCAACCCGTTGCTGAAGGCGGTGTTCCTCCGTCGCCTGCGCCTGACGCGGCTGCTCCTGGAGGGAGGGGCCTACGTCAACGAGAGCGACGGCCAGGGCCGCACCCCCCTGATGGTGGCCTGCACCACCCGGCACGCCGACGCCCAGAGCGCCGGCCGGGACAAGCTGGTCCAGTTCCTCCTGGAGAAAGGGGCGGACCCCGACATCCAGGACAAGGAGGGCCGCTCGGCGCTAATGCACGCCTGCCGGGAGCAGGCCGGCCCCGAGGTGGCGGCTCTGCTCCTGGCCAGCGGGGCGGACATCGGCCTGGAGGACCGGTCCGGGACGTCGGCGCTGGTCTACGCGGTCATGGCCGGGGACTGGAAGGTCCTGAAGCTGTTGCTCGACACATGCAAGGCCAAAGGGAAGGAGGTGATCATCATTGCCACCGACAGGTTCCCGTGCGGGAAACTGCAGGCCGAGCGGTACCTCGGCCTGCCCCCCCTCGGCCCCCTGGACGGGCCCGACGGGACGGCGTCGGCAGCTCCGGCGTCCCCCTCTGAGATCCAGCTCATCACCTCCCCCAGGTGCGCCCCCTCTTCCTTACGCCCCCCGAAGACAGTCTTCTCCTTTAAAGATGACCAGTCCGGGAGCGTGAGCTCCCACCCGTGTTCCCCGTCCCGGTTCCAGCGGTTCGGCCAGGCGGCGCCCAACGGCCTGCAGCAGTCCCTCCTGAGGCTGAACTCCGAGCCCTGGCTGAAGGTCCCGGCGTCTCTGCTCCGCCAGCAGCCTCACGCCAGAGACCGAGCCGAGGACCCCTCCCTCCGGACCCCCGAACCGGACCGCGGGGATTCAAAGAGTGACGGCTTCAAGTGGTACGAAGGCAGAGCCGCGACGGACAACGGGGCGGAGGCGAAGAACGGATGCGGCAAAGACGTGGGGCCGAAGATCTCCTTCCCGGGTCTCCTCTCGTCCCACTCCGCCTCTCACCCGAACCTCCACTCTGCAAACCTCGGCGCAGATTCGCTCCCCTCCTCCTCCTCCTCCTCCTCCGGCGGCGGCAAACACGCCGGCACTGCGCTGCACGCCGCGGCCTCGTCCAGCCTCCGCAGCATAATCCAGCGGCGGAAGCTGGGGGACATCTACAGCTCCGACCCGCAGCTCGCCAGAGACGTCCACGGTCTGCCCGAGGAGTCCCAGCAGGGAGCCCGCGGAGACCTGGCGGAGGGCAAGAGGCTGGCCCCCCTGCGCTGCTCCAGCACGCTGGGCTCCCGGGAGGCGCCGGCGGGTCCGAGACGGCGGGTGCTGTCCGGGTACGAGCGCAGGGGATCCGGGGCCTTCCTGTTGGACCACAGCTGCCAGGCCAAGCCCAGGTCTCTGCCGCCTCTGGCCCTCAACCACGGCAACAACCCCGCCCTCAATGCGTGCGGCGGCTCCGGCGAGAAGGAGCACGTGGCGAGGAGCCTCCTCCCCTCCGCTCCTCCTGGCCACCCCACAGAGATGACCAGGAGGATGCTGCTGAGGAGACACTCGATGCAGACGGAACAGTTCAAAACCACAGCCTGAAGTCCGGTCCAGCCGACCCTGAGAAGAGGGAGACCAAAGAGGACGGATGAAGAAAAGCATCCCGCTCGACGTCGGGACATTCCTCCGCTTCATCGCCCGTCGTCGTCGCCGCCGTGTGGCATCAGTGTGCAGCTTTGTAACACAAAATACACTCGACATGTAACCTTCTACCTTTGGTCAGAGTATCGTTCCAGAGGACAGTTTAGACATCAGTCCTCCACCGTTTGCAGCCACTTTAAATCCAACAATCACCCCGTAAAAGCCACCGTGGACCACGGCAACCATCACAAATCCACTCCAATCATACGAAACGTCGTCACACGCGCGTTAAATCCTCGTTTTCACGTTAAAAGTTGCGTTCTGTGTCGTGACCAGCAGGGGGCGACTCCTCCGGTCCCATAGACGTCTATGAGGAAACGACTACTCTTGATTTATTACCTCAGTAAACATGAGTTTAATCTCCAGTCTTCAACACAGCATGATGTTCATTTAGTAAATGATGGTCCAGTTCAACCACAACCTCCCGTATGACAGCAGGAAGCCGGCGGTAAAGTAGTAAAGCCCGCCTCTCGCTTAATTTGATTGGCTTGCTCGGTGAAGGGTGACATTGACGAGCAGATTCATGATGTTTAAGAACAGCAAGAAAAATGTTCAATAAAAGAATTTATTTCAATAAAAAGTAAGTCACACGTCACATTAAACAAGTCCTCCCATCCATGTGGAGACGCATTAAAAACCTCCTCTTTCTAGTTAAAACTGCTTCCCGCATATTTACAAGTTTATATGGATTAAAAATGAGCATTAAAGAAAAAGAGCACGTCACGCCGTCATTGTAACAAAGCAATTAAAAACCGTGGATTACGTCTTCATTTGTGTTCACTCATCTAAGACTATTTCATAAGAAATAAATACATATCAACGGTGTGTATTCATAATACAAACAGGAGAACCCGTGAGCGGAGACAAGGTGTCCCCGGGGACCAGCTGGGACAGATGCGTCTCCGTTGATCAGCGTAGCTCCGCCCCTCCGTCTCAAAGAGGCCCTTTCCAAACGTCCTCGCCGCGCTTCAGGCCTTGCGGTCGTAGTCGCTCACCATCTTCTTGATGTGGTTCAGTTTGGACTTGAGATATTTACACCGACGCCTCTTCACCCGATAGTCTGCAGACTGCGTCGTCCGCGAAGGGAGCAAAGAGGAAGAGGAGTCATGAGGGACACCCACAAGCTGTCGGCAGTCATGGATCTGGACTCATTGGCCCCACATACCTTCTTAACGGCCTTTATCTTGTCGTACTCGTCCAAAGCGTCCTGTCGAAAGAGCGCGTCAACCGTTTAACACGTGAAAAGAGGAAACGGTATCGTTCAAATCTCACATTCAGCAATATTCTCACTGAAACAAATGCTTTGTTTTGTGCGTGTCTGAAGAACTCTACGATGTGAGATATTCCCACGTGAATGCTGTGCGTTATGCTTTTATTGTGAAAGGTTAGAAAGAAAAGATCTGGTCTGCGTTGCTTTTGTCGAGTTTTTTTTGTTATTGGTCCACAAAGAATAAAGTGTTTTAACTGCATGTGATCAAGAAAAGAACAAACACGTAAGCTGCATATGATTTTGAAAAAGTCACATTTGGAACCAAATATTTTGCAGCCTGAAGTAATAAAGCCCGTGAAGCCTCAGTGTTGTTTTCATCAATTAAAGACTAAATTGGTGAGAAATATTCGCCCCTGACGACGAGTTCTAAAGACGCTCAAACTGCAGCGTTGAGGCTCTTTACCATCGTCGGGACTCACCAGGTACTGGGGGCTCCCCTCCGGCAGCTCGTCCAGGGCCCGGTCCGCCTCCGACAGACCCTTGTTGAGGGCGTCCAGCTCCCCCTGCAGCTCCTTGTACTCCAGGTGCTCGCGGTCGAACTGACGCTTGTACTCGATGCGCCGCGACTCGTCGGTTATCGGAGGAAACTCGCTGGAAGCAGACGAAGTATCTGAGATATGCTACTCCCCCGACAGCAGGTACGAGAGTACTTCTACTCCCCCGACAGCAGGTACGAGAGTACTTCTACTCCCCCGACAGCAGGTATGAGAGTACTTCTACTCCCCTAACAGCAGGTACGCGAGTACTTCTACTCCCCTAACAGCAGGTACGCGAGTACTTCTACTCCCCCGACAGCAGGTATGAGAGTACTTCTACTCCCCCGACAGCAGGTATGCGAGTACTTCTACTCCCCTGACAGCAGGTACGCGAGTACTTCTACTCCCCCGACAGCAGGTACGAGAGTACTTCTACTCCCCCGACAGCAGGTACGAGAGTACTTCTACTCCCCCGACAGCAGGTATGAGAGTACTTCTACTCCCCTAACAGCAGGTATGAGAGTACTTCTACCTGTCGAAGTCGTCGTCGTCCAGCTCGTCTCCTGACGAGTTGTAGTCGGTTTCGTAGTCGGCGCCGTCGGCGCGGCGCGGCCGGCCGGCTCGCTTCTTCTTGGGCTTCCCGGACGTGTCGGAGGCGGCCGCGTAGGGGGCGCCGTTCTGCAGCGGCAGGTGCTCCTCGCTGGGCCTGCGGGGGAGCGAGGAGCAGGCGGTGACGCGGTGGGACGGGGGAGGAAGTGAAACACTTTAAGACTGTTTGGCATTCTTTAAAAAAAAAAAAGGCCTTTGGACGGGAATAAAGCGATGACATCACGCTGAGACCATCGACTGACGTCTGCCGAGCGGAGACCAGGCGCCCGCCGCTCGTTTGCCGGGTCAGTAAACGCTGCGCGGCGGCGTACTCACTGCGGCGTGTAGCTGTACGCAGGCTTGTCGTAGTTGGTGCTCTCGTCGTCCAGGTGGCTCCTGGAGCTCCTCATCTTCTCGGGGAAGTCGGACATGGGGAGAACCTCGGGGCCGGTGGACACGTTGTTCACCTGCAGGAGGAAACCGTTAACATAAAATGTAGGCATCGGGGAACATGTTTTAATTTAAATATTAATGTTAACTTTCATCAATTCTGTTTCCTTAAAAAGTCTTACTCTATATTATATAATATTTATGTTTTTTCTTTAAAAATTGTTTGACTACTTTGAACGCATTGCAAATTGTTTTTGTAAAGCACTTTGATCTGCATGAAAAACACTGCAAATAAAATCTATATACTCTCAAATACATGCTGCTTATTATTAATAATAATAATAATAGTTAGTACATCAGTCCAGTAAGAATTTAAACTCCAAAACTCCATTATTTCTCTTTTTCTGCATATGAATCTGACACACTAATATAAACAAAAACAACCTGCAGCACAAACTTTGTATCTGAAGACACACAGACACACACACACACACACACACACACACACACACACACAGGAATGACACAACCTGCAGAGACTTGCTCCGCTTCACCTCCTCACAACATGCCACTCAGCACTTCAACGGCTTTGAGCTGCAGCAAAACGAACGACCTCTGCTTCCCAGTGGCCCGTTACAGGTGTGCGTGCGCGTTTGTGTCTCTGTGTGCGTTTGTGTGTTCGTGCACCTTTAAGCCGGCGAGTCGTTTGATCAAAAACCTGCGCTGTGATTCACGCTGGATCGGAGACGTCGGGGTTTTATTATCGTTGAGAGAAACTGTCACTGTGAGCGACACACCTTGAAACCCTCGCCGGAGCCCCTCCCCCTCCTCCCCCCTCCCCTCCCCTCCTCCTCCCCCGCTCACACAGGTGAGTGTCACCCAACAGGTCGGACCGCTTCAGCTGATACGAAAACACCCAAACTGCTGCGGTTTGCTTCTTCGACGCGACCGCTGCGTTTCACTCAGAATCAAGTCGACTGATGTGAAAGTTTCTCCTTCGCGAAGAGGACAATCTCTTAGCCAAAATGGGAAACTATCTGTTTTGCAAAAGTGTCTCCGATGATATGATCAAACCATGGATCACTCGACAGAAATGTCAAAATCATCTCATTTCAGAGGCGAATAGAAACATGTGTCCAGTTTACAGAGTTTCAGAGGATCAAGTCTGCGAACAAAGAGCGATTGTGTGTCCGTAGCCAGGAAGCAGCTGGCGTTCGGGGGCGGAGCCCGCCGTGAACTCACCCAGGCCTCCACGTATCCGGCCGGCTCCATTTCGCCGACGACCTTCACCTTCTTCCACAGGATGTTGCTCTTTCCGTAGCCTCGGATTTTCTGGCGAGTCTTCAGCGCGAAGACGAGCATGACGATCAGAGCGACGGCCACCAGGAAGCCGAGCACCACGGCGATGGCCTGCGAGGAGACGGCGCGTTACGGGACGCATCGCACACGGGACAACAAGAAGAGGGAGGAGGGGGAGGCGGCGGGGGAGAAGGTCACCTCCTGCGGCTCCACCACGCAGTAGTGGTACAGGTACTGGTTGACGAAGACCCCCGAGACCTGCGGCTGCTGGTACTGGGCGCACAGGCCGGCGATCGGGTTGCCGTAGCCCGACCCGGAGGACTGCGCCGAGGGGTTCACCGCCACCAGGTAGACGATGGCGGCGATCAGCATCAGCAGCGCCAGGATGGCGCAGATGATCACCACGGCGAGGTAGAACCTGCGGCTCTCCGTCAGGTTCTGGTGGGACACCACGACGATGAAGACGACCAGGCAGGCGATGAAGGTGATGGCCGCCATGGCGATGATGAAGCCTTTGCTCGTCCGGGGGTCAGTGTTGTACCCCCCGTAGCCGTAGGCGCCTCCCGCGCCGTAGCTGCCGCCGCCGCCGAAGCCGGTGTAGCCGCCGCCGCCGAAGCCTCCGGCGTAGCTGCCGCCGTAGTTCCCGCCGCCAAAGCCGCCCAGCGCCCCCTGGGAGTCCCACGCCAGCGTGGACGCCACGCAGGCGAAGATGGCCACGCACATCACGATGGAGATGATGGACATGATCTTGAGGACGCCCGGCGGGGACGTCCAGCGGTAGAAGTGCTGGAACTCGTCGTCGGGGTAGTAGGAGTAGGCCGGCTGGGGCGCCACGTTACTGCGGGGGGGAATACTGAGCGTTAACCGGTCGCCACAAATACTACGATTAAAAATAAACACAACCTTCGATTTAGTAAACTTCTAACAAACGATACAGCGACGGCTGATTGTTATTCGTATTTGACATTAACAATAAGACGCTCAAATAAACGTTGATTGTCAGAAATATTAATATAATATATAATATATTTATATTAATATTAAGGAGCGTCTCCTGTCGGGGGGAATCGATGTCATTCCAAACGCTCCCATTTAAGGGGCACAGGTGCAGCTTTAAACGCTGAGGGATTTTATTTTGAAGAAACGAAGAAACTCTTCAGACTAAAACTCGTAAATTCTCTCAAAAACAAAAAGGAAATGTGAGAGTTGTGGGTTTTTGATTGAGCGTGAATGTCGCGCTGCTCGGCAGACTCACTATCCGGTGTCGGACTCGTAGGGAGGAGGACTCCCGTTGGGCCGCGACGACATGGCTGCTGGTCCTCTGGGTGCTGATCCGGCAAACAATCTGCGTTTAATAAAAACAAGTTACACACCAAGCAGCAATTCGTGTCTTGATTATGCTGTGGATTCTTTAATAAATAATGGTTTGTCCAATCAACAGTTATTAAGTTAAAGTTCAGCACAAATCATTGCAGCACTTCCACATATTGAAGAGGAACTTTCTGATTGAACAAAAATGACTGAGAATGATTTGATACAAATTAATGCCGATTGTTGTTCCGTTAACAAACAAATCGATTGATCGATTCAGCCTTTAATAAAATAGAAACAGAACCACCATTAAAGTCTGTGTGTCTTTAAGCGGACATTTTCCGGATCGGGGTTCGGCGGCGGCTCTGAAATCCGCTCAAACTGAGACAGTTTATTCGGTTCTTTAACGGGTCCCGTTTAACCCCCATGACGTTGGGTTCGGTTCTGCGGGTTTATCGGTAGCAGCTCCGGCTTTAATCACAAGGCAACAACATTAGTACGACGCCACAGCAGAGATGACTGACCTGAAGTCGGTTACTCACCTGTTTGTGCACGAGGCAGGTAACAAGTTGTGGAAGATGTTGATCAACCTCGTCCCGTGACGACTCACCTGTCTCCGCTTCTGGGCTCCAGCTCAAATGTTTCAACTGAAACTGAAGCTGCAGATAACAAAACAATAAAAGCCACACCCAGGTGAGCGCCGCTCTCGGCCCAGTCTGGCCCCGCCCCCTGGAGCAGGTGTCGCGTTACCTCTTGGCAAAACCGGAAGTCCCGATTTCACCTTCATGGAAATGTCCCATTGCTTCAGGGAAAGCGGACCAGCAGAGCCCGGTCCTTTTATTTTGGTAAAAACAAACTTTATTAACTCCCAGAGCAGACAAATTAAGAAAGTAAAGCATTGTACATACATATAAATATATATCAAAATATTTAAATTATTTATATGATGTATTTTAATTCATATATATAATATTTTAATTTTTTTTTGTTGTAAATTATAAGACTTTATGCATCTGTTGATGCTAATTATAAAATGAACTCATAAATTCATCTTTAAAATCTTTTACTCTATTTGCATGTCTGCGTGGCTCCAAACATTTAGAAACAGTCTTTATATAAAAAAAACTTAATTCATTACTGAGTTGAGAGCTGCGACTAATAAAAGCTATGATCGTATTCTTGATTGAAAAAATATTAATTTAAAACTTGCTTTTGCCTTAAACACTTTAAACATCATTAAAGAGAAAGAAACATTTAACTAATACATTTGTGAAGTTTTGGGTGTTTTCTTTATTCTGGAGTGTTTTACACAGAAACTGTTTTTTCCTCTTTCCAATAAAACAAAACTTTGTCTGCTGATCATAAAAAAGAAGTCAAAACCCCAAGTGCAGAAGCAAAACTGTATTCTGGACACAAAAAGCACCGATTAATCACTTTTAAATAATATGGACATTTACAGCAACATCAGCACTTGATAACAAGAGGAAAGGAGACTTTGTGATGTCACTTCCTGTCTATCATGAGGTCCAGCGTTTTAAGTGGTATAAAGGAGATTTTTAGGCACATAAGTGACTATAAAAGGTACAAAAGTGTTTGTGAAACGGAAGAGCAAAGTGTCACAACATGTAAAATTACACAATAAGATGCATGAAAACAGACAAGTGTGCAATTCGAGGGGATTCGTCGTGACAAACAGTTTTTCATTCATGAAATTTACGTCGCAGCGAAAGTAAACAGCGAGAAATCCTGCAGCGTCTAATATTCCACTTTCACGATTACAGTTATTAACGAGTAAAGAGCGGAGCCTCGGCTACGTCAGTCACAGTATCACACGTACGTACACACGGTGCATCCACACGTACAGTTCTTTGCATATTCAGACCATTTAAACAATGAATAGTGTTACAGTTGAAACAGAGTTCTTTGGATTCCGGTGGAGCGTTACAGGAGAATAGAAGCTCTTGTATCATTTAAACAGCCAGGTGACAGTTAGCTTAGCATAAAGGCTGGAAACGGCTCGCCATAAACACGCAAAGAGCTCGTTAATCAACTCCTTGGACGTTTCCGTTGAAGCTCTTTGCATTCGCTTCCAGTCTTTGTGCGAAGATAACTGGCCCCGGGATGAATCCCCATGTCCCCTAGTCCTCTAGTCCCCTAGTCCCGTAGTCCTCTAGTCCCCTAGTCCCCTAGTTCTCTAGTCCCGTAGTCCCCTAGTCCTCGTTCTCTAGTCCCGTAGTCCCCTGGTCCTCGTTCTCTAGTCCAAGTTTCAGCCGAAGCCGTCGTTCCACTCCATCACTTTGTCGTACTCTTGGATCTTGTGTTTGATGTGCGACAGTTTGCTCTTCAGGTACTCGCAGCGCTCCCTCTTCTCCAGGAAAGTCGGGTCCTGGTTCAAAGAGGCAGAATCACACGAGGGTTTTATTTCACTGTTAATCTCTGGAATATAAAAGACCTGCAGCCACAGGGTGAACAAAACAAACGGCTCACGTTCTTCTTCCTCTGGTACTCCTGAAGGATCCTGTTGATGCGATCAACCTCCTGCAGGAAGAGACACACAAAGAGGGCGACAAGATGAAGAGTCCGTGTTAAGATGATGAAGAGGAGATGGATGGTGAGCGGAGAAGGAATGTGAGGGTGGAGGGGAAGTCCAGCAGGAACAGGAAGTGCACTCAGAGGAAGTAACGGAGACCGAGCGCAGTAATCCAGACACGCGCTCACGAACACAACTGAAGGGGAACGAGTGACCTTTGTCATCTGAAATGCAAAGTTCAGCCCGGCAGCTGAGACGGAAAATACACACACACACACACACACACACACACACACACACACACACACACACAGCCTACTTTGAAGAGAATATATTTCCCTAGCGTGGGTCAAGCCACAAAAATGCTTGGTCCTACATTTCCCATGATGCAACGCAGCATTGATCAAACACGATCAATAAACAAACAAAAAGAGCTCAGAAACCGAAGAGAAGAAGTGTGCGCGTCACCGTCTGGCTGCCCGGGCGCTGCGGCAGGCCGCGCATCATGGCGTCCATCTCGTCGAACCTCTTCAGGGTGGCCTGCACCTCCGAGTGGAGCTCCTTGTACTCGGCGTACTGGTCGTTGAACACGGCGCGGTACTGGTCCCGCTCCTCGTCCGACCGGACCGTCCGGTACTTCCTGGGGAGAGAGAGAGGGGGGGGGGGGACGCCTTCGGTCACGCCGCCTCTTCACTCATTTCAAACGGGATGTTTCTGGTAGTATTTCATTGTTGCTCACAAAAGACATGCGGATTCTTTGCTTAATTCGTTGAGAGAAGCCACGCCCTCTTACCCGATGTAGTCGGGCACGATGACCGGTCGGGGAATGTGTCCCGACGGAATCGCTCCCTGGAGCACGTGGGCGGGAGCGGCCTTCGCAGCGGCTTCGATGGGAACCACCGAGGAGCCTTCCACCTGCACCGGAGCCCTGTGGGGCGGGGCCACCTGCAGAAAGACACAACGCCGTGATCCAGACGCGCCGCCGTGATCCAAAAACAAACGCCGTGATCCAAACGCGCCCGTGGGGGCTACGAACGCGTGACGACAGCAGGCGGCTCACCAGGGTCCGTGCAGCGTGCGGCTCGGTGGGAAGCATCTGAGGAACACAAGCGGTAGGACTCATCAACACGGCGCTCACATGGCGAGAAAAGGGACAGTCTGGACAGTGCGTCACCTCGTGGCCGCGCCTCTCCCGGTAGCGGCGGGCGGCCTCGTGCCTCCACAGCTTGAGGCACACGGCGGCTCCGATCAGGTACACCACCAGGGTGACGAACAGGAAGATGATGGCGGCGGTCTGGCCCGCCTCCGTCCGGCAGAAGGCCCCGTTGATGCCGTTGTTGAAGACCGGGTAGGAGCACAGGCCTCCGCGGGTGGTGTCCCGGACGTAGACGATGCCTAAAAACAATCAGCGTTTAGTGCTAATATTATACCAACGTGACCCTTTGATGCAAAACATCAAATGTCAACAGCTTGAGTTCAACGTTCAAACAAAAAGGAGAAACCCACCGGCCGCCATGAAGAGCACCGCCAGCGCCAGGTTGATGGTGAACTCCGTCAGAGGCCACCAGGACGAGTCCAGCAGGATGGTGCGGTAGTACATGGTCATCCCCAGCACCAGCACCATCACCGTCACCAACCACGCCAGCGCCGCCACCACCAACACGAACGGCGTCATGGGGCCCGAGTAGTAGGACCCGCCCGTGACGCCGCCGTACCCCCCCGCGCCGTACGCGCCCCCGCCGTACGCGCCCCCGGGCGAGGAGTACCCGAACATGTTGAACCACTCGTTGTCCTTGTGCACGTAGGCGCAGACGCAGGCGAACACGGCGGCCCCCAGCAGCAGCTCCACGCAGCCCAGAATCCTCAGCAGGCCGGCCCAGGACTTCATGAAGGCGTAGCGCAGGTGGTACTCCTCCACCCGCTCGCTGTAGGTCAGAGCCGTGTGGTGCGTGCGCCCCGACAGCGACTCCTGCTGCTCCAGCAGCTCCTTGCGCGAGTTGTAGCTGCCGCCCGAGCCGCCATACGGATCCCGGTAGGACCCGGGCGCGGAGGGGGAGCGCGGGGGGGAGCAGCGCACCCCGTCACTGGTGCTGTTGTTGTTGTTGTTGCACGAAGAGGCGGGGGCGGAGCCGGGCAGGTCACCGCCGCCGCCGCCGCCGCCGCCCCCCTTGAAGAAGTCCTTCCAGGAGTCCGGGATGAAGCGGTGCACCGGTTTGATGTCGAGGGCCGGGTCGTCCTGCCGGTTCTCCTCGTCCTCCGACTCGGGGCCCACGGGGGGCTGGTCCGGCAGCGGCGGCGGAGGGAGGGGGTCGGCGCTCCGGGCGAGGGGCGACGCTCCGCGCTCCCTCAGCAGGTCGTAGGAGTCCGCTCGGGGCAGCGAGCCCAGCGGCACCGGGTCGTAGTACGGCGACTGGCGGGCGCGCTCAGTGCGTCCGTAAAAGTCTCCTCCATTGGACATGAGGATGCCGATGGTCCCTGAGGGGCCGACACACACAATCACTGGGGGGCCTTTCTCACCTACTGGAATATGAGGATTTGTTGCTTTAAGACCAGACCAAACAAACAATAGCGTCCCTTGATTTACGGTCTACTAGAGACCTGTCAATCAGTGTGTAGTCCCGCCCTAAAGCATTCTCCACTGTACGGTCTACTAGAGACCTGTCAATCAGTGTGTAGTCCCGCCCTAAAGCATTCTCCACTGTACGGTCTACTAGAGACCTGTCAATCAGTGTGTAGTCCCGCCCTAAAGCATTCTCCACTGTATGGTCTATTGGACAAAATGGACCATAACGGGCAGAATCAACAGTCCAAACCAAAAGCTACTCAATTCACCATCAGACAGTAAAAGCAGCAAATCCTCAAATCCTCAACAATGTGAATCAGATAAGAAAATTGATCAACAATTGTTTGAGCTCATTAATTCAGATCATAAACAGGAAGCAAAGAAAGGGGAAACTTAAGAAACCCAAGTCCCTCCATGCATCGTTGGTTTACTCCACCTACGGAGACAGAGAGAGAAAACCCAAAAGCACCGAGGTCACCCGTCTCCCGCCGCGTCCCCCACCGCGTCCCCCACCGTCCTCCATGCAACAGTCAAGAATGCATTTTTGTGCTGCAACCGAATACAAAGCGCTGTTGTTGTTGTTGTTGTTGCAATAAAGCATGTGTAGCAAACTTACCGGTAGCACAGAAATACATTCTTGACGAACCAATCAGCCCCACAAAAGTGTCTTTAACGATTCAGAGAATGAATAAAAAAGTGATGAATACCTCGTTCACACGCAGTCACTCAGCACGACTTACATTGGCCTGCAGGTCAGAGTGCAAACCTGAGAGACGTCCAGCTGGAGACAACGGAGACACCTGGAAACACACACAGACACCTGGAGACGTGGGAGGTCCACTTTAAAACACACACTATCAGAATGTTGTATTAGTACTTTTTACTTCAGTAAATGATATGAAAACTTCCTCTGATGAGGACTGTGTACTAATACATCATCAGGTTCAGTCTTTTAATGAGAAAGTTGTGTTTTAATGTTGTACACACGTCAGCTGTAATATAACAGAGATTTAATATAAAAAGGTACACTGTGTGTGTACTTTTACATCATCAGGTTCAGTCCTGTGACGAGGAAGCGCTATTGAACTGTCGTTAGGTTCGCTTGTTTCGCTCACCGAGCCCTCTGGCACGGAGCCAACGTCTGTTGTCACGTCTTTAGGCCTCACGCAGTTACTTGACTCGGTGTAAAATCATTATTTTGTATTTCAGGACGGAAATAAACTAAACACAGGCCGCAACTTCGTGTTTTTAAATGTCTGTTTGTCAAAGTTTTGGTTACGACAAACGGCGGTAAACTTCGCCCCTTACGCTGACGTCACTCGCGTTATACTGACTTCACGACTGCAAAAAGTTCACATTTCACACAATAAACGACTCTTAATCGATACCTGAGGACACGCGTGATCAACAGATGCGATTGCGGGATGCAGATGCAGTCCGTTAGTCTTCCTCGCCTACCTTGCTCGACTCCTTTCCTCGCTTCTCCTCCTCTTTTCTTCTTCTCTTCTTTCAGTAACATTAAACCAACAGGTTTCCCTGTGACGCGACCACGTGACCGGCCCATCCCCGTGACGTCACTCAGACAACACGGTGGGGGGGGGGGTCACCTGGTCGAAAACGGCACCCGAAGAAGCCGTTGGCTGATAAACTTTCTCTAATAGGCAGATTACTTTCACTCAAGTACTGTTTAGTGGTACTTGTACTTCATGTACTTCTGTTCCACTACACCTGAGGGGCGAATACTTTACTTTTTAATCCTCAACATTTGTTAAACAGCTCGACTTCCTGTCCAGTGAAACCAGCGTCTCACATGTGATATTTAGATGACTTCAAGTTAAATGCAGTTTGTTTGTCCTAAACAAACAACTATTGTTTTAATAGTATTTATTTATATGATTCTGTAGTATTAGTGGAGTACAAACTCAATTGGGGTACAAAAAAGAAGTTATTTTAGCATTTTCATTCACGATTAGAGATTGTGAATAATGAGACACAAAACAGTATTAAGTACACATTTATATAGCGGGCTGGATTGTGTACTTCTATTTGAAGTACACAGAGTACATTTTACTGATAGTAAGAATACTACTTCCACCACTAGATGTCTAGACAGTTTAACAGTGGCTGAGCTGTGTTAAATACACCTTTCTGTCCCAGAATAGAACCGTTTTTTTTTTGTTTTTTTTACAGTACAACAAAAATATGAACACAAAAATATTTTCACCTCAGAATCTCCCTAAAACGGTCTCCCTCTTTTGGACCATGAACGTTTTCATAGAATATCAGTCATCTGTTTAATGAATTTACAAGCTTAAAGGTTGTAAAGACTTTTTGACCTCATTTCTTTGTTCCTGTGTAAGAGAACCTCACTTGATATATTTAAAAAGACTTTGAGCGTGTAAAGTTAACTTGTTACACCACCAACACATGAGGCCAATCTTCAGAAGGGAACTGGTTACTTCCTTTCCATCCTGATCGCTCAGCGACCATAAAAGGAGGAGACGTGGGGGTCCTTTGGGTGTCACAGCTTCACGCCCACCACCACCTCCACCTTTGTGCTTCTGGCAAACAGATTGTTCCTCATCTCAAGCAGCGATGTTCTACCTCACACCGACACACGCGTGACGGTGTCCAACGTAAAGTAAAACTCAGCCCCACCTCTGATGTTCAAACATTTAATTTGGAAAACAGAAGTGTTTACACATTGTCAGAACCACACACACACACACACACACACACACACACACACATCTTGCATAAGGTCTGCTTGTATTTCTACGGAGGAGGAGAAATGGCTTCTTAAGAGGTTCCACACGAAGAGGAATGTGAAGAGGAACCACGTGTTCTAAAGGGAACTAAAACACGTTTGCACACATGGGTATGTTACTGTATGTGGAGCAGTTTTACACTACAGGAACTTAAAAGAAGGCAACGGATGATATGGATAAAAGCATTAATAAGAATTCTTTCATTATTGTGATACATTAAAACAATTAAAATATTTGGGGCTGATCCCAGAAAAACACATTTTTTGAGGTCTCTGATTTAACCGTCTTGGATTGTTGCAAACATTGAACAGGAAGTGACCATAAATGGACCGAGGAGGATGCACGTCGCTGGTAGAGACCTGTCAATCATTGTGTAGCCCCGCCCTGAAGCATCCCCTGCTTTATGGTCCGTTTGACTCTTAATGGACCAGAACCCACTAAATGAACATCGTGCTGTATTGAAGAAGAGTCATTTCCTCATAGACGTCTATGGGAGCAGAGGAGCGTATTTTTCAGATAATGGGAAACTTTCTCTCGTGAGGATAAAACATGAGGAGTAAAACTGGGCGCTTTATTTAACGGCAGCATTCGTCGAGACAGTGAAAACAAAAACACCAAAGGCCCTAAAAGTTCCTGTAGCGTAAAACCAAAACCTCTGAATAAAACACGTGAAAGCTGAAATGAACGGCTTCGAGGGCCGAGCCTCACTTACTTAAAATCTTCTGATTATGTTCTTCACACTTAGATCAACAAGCTCAGCGTAAAGCTCACTTGCTACTGTGGATCACAGTTAATTATCCCCCAGAAAATACTACACACGCTACGTTCTTAAAGACTACCGCGCCTACTGAGGAATCCGCCGATCACCCTCCAGATGCTTCTGATCTCAGCCCGAGAAAATCCTGTGCCCTATAAAGTGCATATAAGTGGACGACACCGTAAATGACGGCGGTGACCCGCCCGCCCTCATCGCCCCCCCCCGTGTGAGGTTTAGTGTGTCTTCAGACCATTTCAGACGCCTCTTGGGGTGAAAGTACGCACGTTGTTCTTCACTCACAGGTGGATTAAAGACAAAGATTAAAGAGGTCCATTATAAAATATGCCCACAGAAGGGCCAAAGTAAAGGTGGAGCTTTGGGATCAAAGTCCCGTGTTGATCCATTTTTGCGGGGGGGGGGGGGGGGGTGTTGCATTGCTTTGCGTGGAGACGTTGGTCCTTGGACGCACAGTGGAGGTCGGACCCTCAGTAGGGGATTTGGTTCTGGTAATACTGCAGCATGTCGTACGTCTTGCTCCTGTGAGGATCAAAGGTCAGGAGAACGTGTGAGTTGGCATCGCCACGCGTGAGGTCACGAGGTCGCGGCGCGTGAGGAACAGAATGTCGGCCGCGCGTGCAGACGGGGGCCCGAGAGAGACGCTTTCATACCTGCTGCTGAGGAAACAGCTCTGGATGATTTTGATGATGTACGCCGCGGCTTCTTTCTCGCTCATCTGAGGATTAAACCGTCCTCTGCGAACACAGAGAGCAGAGATACACATGAATGTTCCACGCCGTCGATTTCGCCCCCCAGCGAGCGTCTCCGAGTCGGGTTGGACTCACTTGAGGAGTTTGATGGTTTGTCCTCTGAAGCACGGCAGCCCGGTGTCCAGCATGAGGGTCACCAGGGAAACCACAGCGTCCATGTAGGGTCTTCACCATGGCAGAAGGAGCCCACAACAACAACAACAACAGTCACATTTCAATTCAACAAGCTCACCCACTCGTTATGCGGCTGGTCTCTTCTTACCGCACGGCCAGGTACCCTCTGACGCACATCTCCATGAACCACTTGAAGGGCGTGGCCTCCATCTTGCCCCCCATGATCATGACCATCTCGTCGGTGAGCTTGATGTCCGGCTCCCAGCCCAGGTTTCCTCCCGGGGAGCTCTCGAACATGAAGCCAAAGTCTGCAGAGAACGCCGGGATGATTATAGAATGACACATGGAAATTATGTATTAGGCTCATAATTCATACGTCATAAACTATAACTTTTCAAAAAAGTTATGAATAAATCGGTTAATGTCGTCTTTTCTGACATTAACTGCCGTTCCCGTGTCATGGCGACAGGATGCTGCGTCGATAACCGTATGTATGCATTAACATATCTACTCGGCCCACCGATGTGGATGAGGTGGCCTTTGCTGTCCAGCATGATGTTGCCGTTGTGGCGGTCTTTGATCTGCAGCAGGAAGAGCAGCAGGCTGTAGGCGGCCATGCTGCGGATGAAGTTGTACCGAGCCTGAGGAGAGCAGAGGAGGAAACAGGAATCTGAAACGACCAGTCCATGAACCCACATTTACTCGCTTGGAGAACCATACAGGCGAAATAATGTGGGAACCGGAGGATCTCAGAGGCCACGCAGGGGCAGCGGCTCTTTTTTTATTGGCTGAGCTTTAATTCAAGAAAGCCTCTTTCCACGCCGAGGACCCCTTGCGCCCCTCCATCGAGCGGGCGGCAGCGCGCTCACCTTCTGGAAGGCGAGGGTGGATTCGTCGCCGTACTGGTTCCGGAAGTAATCGTACATCCCGAAGTCGGTCTGGCGGCCGAGCTGGTCTCTGGACTTACAGTCGGGGATGCACTCGATCACGCCACACTGAGAACCACAGACAAGACAGCTCACGCAGGGAGACCTGTCAGTCAGTGTAAAGCCCCGCCCCCCAAGCATCCCCCGGACTCGAAATGGACCATAACGCACTAGTCCGGTTCACATTACTTGGACAGGTGTGTGAGGGTCAAAGGTCAGCGCGTAAAGCCCGCTGAGGCCAATGTTGTGATGTGTAATATTGGTGCAAAGCAAAGCTTTGCATGCGTGTGTGTAATAACAACTAAGAAATTAGAACAACTTTGCATGAGCAGAACACGGAGGGGGGAGTGTGTCGGGACGTCCTACCCCCGGTGCCGTGGCCACCACCCTGTAGGGGAACACAAACAGGTCCAGGCCCACCAGCTGGAAGATGTTCTTAAAGAGACCAATGATCTGCAGAGCCAGCATGTCCTGGAGACAAACAGGTCACCAAGGTCACAGGAGAACTTTCCTCACCCCGTGATCCCCCCCCCCCAGCGACCGGGCCCCTCACCTGTCTGCAGTCGTCTCCCACTTTAAAGATGGCCGCCTGCCAGCAGATCCTGCGCGACCCGTCGGGGTTCTCCTCCCCGTCCTCCAGCGAGTCCGACGGGCAGCGCAGCCCCTCCCGCTCCAGCTCGCTCACGCCGCAGCGCTTCACCTTGAACTTGGCCAGGTACGGCGCTTTGGCGGCGCTGCGGTGACAGAGAAACGGCCCGGTGAGGTCAACACGATGCTACAGCAACATCATGAGCTGTGATCCTCTGACGTTTCTGTCTGCGCGAGCACCTCTGCATGGGAGTTCCAGACTTGTAGTCGATGTCCAGCACGATGGCCTCTGGGTTACTCGGGAGGTAACAGCCTGAAGAAAAACAACCACGCAAATATTCAAAACATTTAAGACAAACGGTTTTAAATGTATCGAATAACACGTCTGTGAGACAATTCATCCAAATCCTGAGCAACTTAATCTGCTTGAATATTTGAAGCTAAAAGTGTTTCCATCAGCAGTTTAATCGTCACCTGGCTGCACTTTGATGTCGGACAGAGCTTTGAGACACGCCCTCTTCCTCTCCTCGCCCTTCGGAACCGGCCTGCAACATAAAAAACAGAATTCAGGGTGAGGACCCCCCCGGCCCCCTCCTCCCCTCCGCCCGGTGCCTTTACTTGAGAATGGCCGACACGTTGGTGATCTTGTTGAAGAAGTCGAACTCTCGCTGGTAGAAGTC